AGTCAGAGAGACAACTCTTGTGTCCCTTTCACCATCTCAGCCCCATTTTTGAACTTAAGCACAGGGTGGAATTGACTGTATCCCAGCTTCTTCCCATCCCAGTTGACCTTCACACCCTGCCTGACTCCACACTAAGGGATACCCATACTGACACTGCCCAGCACAGGGCCTTGAATTTACATGGGTTTTATAAATTTTTTTTTTAATAAGATGCACTTTACTTTTTTTTGTAATAAAATTTGAAAAATAATTGTTTAATCATGGCTCTCTTAAAGGACTTTTGCTTTTTGAAGTTGGTCTGTTTCTGGGGGTTCTGAGCTTTTTTTTCCCCAAGGGTTAGTGAACCACAGCCAGCCTGGAGTGGAATATGGCACTTACCTAAGGGATTTTAGTTTGCAGGAGTCACTCTGTCCATCAGTTCAGTGTAGCAAGGGATGGGCCTACTTTCCTTAAATGCCTTACAATTTTGGCAGGGTTGTGGGGTACCAGAGATTGAACTCAGGGGTGCTAGGTAGTGAACCCAGGGACTGAAACCAGGGATTGGCCACTGAGCCACATCCCTAACCCTATTTTGTATTTTATTTAGAGACAGGGTCTCACTGAGTTGCTTAGGGCCTTGCTAAATTGCTGAGGCTGGCTTTGAACTCACAATCCTCCTCTCTCAGCCTCCTGAGTTGCTGGGATTATAGGAGTGCACCATCATGCCCAGCCTTTTACAATTTTTAATTTTACAAATGATAATTTGGTAAAACTAACTTTTCTTTTAGTATACAGTTCTTCAAATTTTAACACATTCCAAAATTCATGTAACTACCACCACAGCCAAAATTCTGGAGAGTTCCACCCCTCACTGCTATCTCCTTATACCTTCATTCAGGGGTGGGAGGGATTTGATTTCTCATTGATCCAACCTTTCTTTTTCTATATCTCTTTCTTACTGTACTGGGGATTGAACCCAGGGGTGCTTTACCACTCCCAGCCCTTTTAATTTTTTATTTTGAGGCAGGGTCTCAGTAAGTTGCTCAGAGCCTTGCTAAATTGCTGAGGCTGTGATCCTCCTGTCTCAGCCTCCCAAGACTCTGGGATTAGAGGCATGTGCCACATGCCTTGCTGGCCCCATTTTTAGATGTGACTTATTACTAGTATGATCAAAAGTTTCTAAAAGTTCGGTCCTTCCTTATACCAGTGTTTCTAGTGCCACACTTAGGATCAAAACTTCTAAACCTTTATTATTGATTAGTAGAAACAGAGTGATGACAATGGCAGGAAAAAGCAGGTGGGGTCCTCTCCTGCCCGGGACCAGACTGCGCGGTGCCGGCTCCAGGCTGGGCCTGCTTGGCCGGCCCTGACAACGCAGGCGTAACCTTGGCCACAGCTCAGCAGTGGAAAGGTCTTGGACAGGGTGCTGGGACACATGCTGGGGCTGCTGTCACAGGACAATCTTAAAGGAACTGCACAGAAAAGAGTGAGTTGGGTTTTCTTTTTCTTTTTTTCCCCAGTGCTAAGGTTGGAACCCAGAGCCTCATGCATGCTAGGAATATGCTCTGCCACTGAGCTACACCCCCAGCCCAAGTGGGGTTTTCTGATGGAAGAGGAGGGTAGGGACTGAATCCAAACCTAGCCGCCCCTCCCCCTAAGACCTTCTTTGGAATGGTTTGTGTCCCATGTGAGTCTGTCCCTTCTCCTTTGGAAGAAGAGTGACCTGAGACCTGGTCCCCAGAATGCAGAGCAACCACTACCAAATACCTGGCAAAGTCAGGTGAACGGGAGATGACATGCTGGAACTCAGAGAGATTGATGGTCCCATCCCTATCAATGTCTGACTCTTCCAGGATCTGGGAAAGGGAGAGCTTTAAGCCAGAGCCCCAACTCTTGCCTCCTGCTCCCAAGCCCAGCTAGATCAGGCCTGATCTGGCCACTCACATTATCAATGAGCTGCTTCATCTCTGAAGCACTGAGTCGAGTGTCCTCGCCCTCTCCCGTAAGACAGTTCACAAGCTGACTCAGGTCTTCTCTGTCCAGAGTTCCATCATCATCAAAGTCTAGAGAGCAGACATAGGAGGGCATGGTCAGGAGGAGCACCACAAAATGCACAAATGCCACCCACTTCCCAAACAGCCCCACCATGAAGCCCATGTTGGAATAGGTGGTGTTCTACCAGTTCTTTCTGGTCCTTACCGAAAATGCGAAAGGCATAGTGGGACTTGATGTCTGGGGTTGCTGTGTCACTAAATACACTCAGGAGGTCCAGGAAGTCCTCAAAGCTTAGGCTATCCCTGGTGGGGGATGTAGAGAAGACCCTGCAGATTCGTTCCTTGAAGGGATTGGCCTAAGTAAGAGAGCCTTTGGTGAATGCTTTGGGAAGTAGCCCCAGGTCACATGCTCATTAGACCCTATCAGAAACTTGATGGAGTGGGTCACAGTACCAGCACCATGGAGCTCAGATTTATGGGGAAGAAGCTCTGGGGCCAGGATATAAGGCCCTGGTAGGGGAGCGCAGGGGGCACTAAATGAGCCAGCTGGAGAAGGGGCAGGAATGGCTTCCTGGCAGTCTGTTTAACTCAAAGTGAGACCAGAGTGGGAAGAGGAAGGGAAAAAGATGAACTGGTTATTTTGGAATATAAGTATTTAACTGAACAACTATTATGTTACAGGAATTGGGTTAGTCCCTTTGTATAAAAAATTTCACAGCAGCCCTACTGAGTTACAACCAACCTGTGCAATAGGGTTTCTCAAACTTTAATAAGATTTTGTCCTCTTAAAGGACAAAACTTGTCTGAACTTCCAAGAATATGTCCTGGAATCCCAGTTTAAAAAGCACCATTCTAATCCAGGCATAGTGGTACCCGCCTATAATCCCAGTGATTTGGGAGGCTGAGGTGGGAGGGCCAGTCTCAGCAACTTTGTGAGACCCTTTATAAAAAACAGAAAAAGACTTGAGATGTAGCTCAGTGGCAAAGTGCCTCTGGGTTCAATTTCCAGTACCAATAAATAAATAAATAGCAACATTCTAGATAATTTTGCTGGGTGATTTTTCTTAAATATTTTTTTAGTTGAACACTTACTTTTATGTGGTGCTGAGAATTGAACCAAGTGCCCTGCACATGCTAGACGTGCACTCTATCCCTGAGCCACAACCCCAGCCCTTGCTGGATGAATTTGATAAATCCTTGCCCTCAGAAAGTTAGAGCTAAGCAGGAAAAAAAACTGGAATACAGACCAGTGACACCATTATCTCTATTTGAGTGGCAGGAAGAATTAGGGGGTCTAGCAGAGTAAAGGTGGGTAGAGGGGTGGGGAGCCTTACCTTGAGCTCTGGAATGCTGAGAATCAGCTCAAAGGATACCCGTGCCTGCAGTGATTCGTCCACACTTCGTTGCTCCTGGGGAAGGAGCTCACAAAACCGCCTGTGGGCTCTGACAAAGAGAGGGGAACTGGTCTCTCTCAAGCAATTGATCTCCCTGTGTGTGCTTGCATTCCCATTCCTTGCCTTGCACCTGACCCGTTATAAATCAGGTGAGGAGCTAAGCCACAAACAGGACTTCTGCGTCACTGGGCAATGGTCAGTCAAAAGGAGATAAGTCACAAGACAGTACAGGCTGGGAGTCCATTCTTGCAATAGGTATTTACTGAGAGCCTATTGTGTGTTCTCTGGCACTGTGCTGGGCACTGATTCTAGATCACTGATGGATGGAGAGACTGGAGAAAGAGCCAAAAGGTCCTTAAGAACAGAAAGAAAAGATCAAAACCACAATCTCATTCTCTTTCACTCCAGGGACTCCTCCAGACCTCCTTGAACTATCTTTCTTCTCAGCCCCACCTCCTTCCCAATGGAATGATCTTTGCCAAGGGAAGCCCAGGAATCTTCTCATTCAAGGGTTCTAACCCACAACAAATCCACTTCCTCCCAAGGTAGTCTTAGGCAAGTTACCAAACCCCTCTGTACCTGTTTCCTTGCCCTATACCTCCCTAAGTTAGATGATACAGGCAATCACTTAGCACAGTTCCTGGCCTAGGTAAATGCTCAAGAAGTGTTAACAGTTACTATATTATTCAAGTTAAGTTGGAAGGAAACGCCAGGCTCTCCAAGGCTTCTCTGGTTTTGTTACTGGGCAAAGTCAGCCGTGAGAGCTACAGCAACCCTTGCAGGACAGGGGCAGGATGTTCGCTAGTGCAGAAGCCAGTGGAGCGCAGGGTCAAACAGCTCCCAACTTTTCCCGGATCCTGAGAGGTGGTTCTGTGGTGCAACGATGGGGCCCCAGGCGCGACACGAGAGGGTGTACCAGGAAAGGGGTGCAGCCTTGGGCTTGGACTCCTCGCTTCCAGTAACATCTCCGCTGCTTAACTCCGGCAAGCCCTGCCCCACCCTCCAACAGGGGATCAGTTTGCCCATCTATAAGACAGTGACCCGCAAAGCCGCCTCTAGAGGATCCCAAGTCGGAAGTGGGGTTCAGGGCAGCACTCACAGGAGAATCTCCTGCTTAGTCAGGAACGTCAAGTCCTGGAAGGCAAACCAGAAGGGAGGTCAGCCGACCGTCCGGAGGCCGCAGCCGCTGGGCCGCCCACCCCGGGACACCGCTTCCGGGCGCAGGCCGGCACGCGAGCTCCCTGAGAACCCGCGTCCCGCGCACCTGGTACTCGGCCAGCAGCTCTTTGGACAGGCGACTGCCCGAACCCCCCATTGCCGCGCCGCGCGCACAGCTCCGCCAACTCTCCTTGGGACACCGACAACTTTCTCACTTCCGCCCTCCGCTGCGTCACCGACCAGTCCCCGCGGCAACAGCTGCTGAGGCTACCAACCCCGGCACCCGCTCCTCGCCACGCCCAGGCCTCCCAGAGCTGCTCCGCCCGCCAGCTGCCGGCCTCCGCAGTACTAGGCGCGCCGGAGGCGGGGCCCGGGGCGGGGCCGGACGCTCCGGGGCAGGGCCCAGGCCCCGCGGCCCCGCCCCCTGGTGGGCGGTGCGGCCGCGCGCGTAGTGCAGACTGCGCCTGCGCTGAAGGCTTCCTGACCCGCTTTCCCCGTGGTAGCGGCTGCAGGGAAAGTCTCGTGGTGTTGCAGCCCCACCTGCAATAGGTGCTGGCGGCTACAGCCCTGGGCGGGACCCGTAAGGAACATCTAGGAAATCCCTGCAGCCGGAGTATCCGGGAAACCTCGGGACTCGCCGGGTGACTGGAAGCGGTCGGCTCCCCATCTGCCCTGAGAGCACTTTTCCAGTCTGTCAGCGGGCGACTGTTACAACACTCGGTACAAAGAGCCCCTTCTTCCAGAAGTAACCACAACCTTGCTGCCTGTTAAGCCTGTTTACTGAGAAGCCACTGGATGTCAAGCACTGTGCACAGTTATCTTCCATTTTGAAACAGCTGGACCAGGTAGGCTCCCATTTTACAGACATGAAAATTCACGTCCAGAGGGTTTCAGTGACTCTTCTGGCTCGGACATTTAGACATTTAGGACATGTAGGTTGACCCCCTCCGAGGCTCCCACCCTACTGTATTATTCCAGCTGAGGTGCTTCCTTGAACTCCACCCCAGCGCCAGATTACATGCTCCCAGATGTAAAAACCGAGCTCTTGATCTTGTCCTCTCTCAACTCCCAGGTCATTGCTTGGCACATAGATTTTCAATAAATATATATCGGATGCGTGCTTGAATAAATTAACCTATAGTACTCTAGAAGGTGAGGATTCCAAGTTGCTGGGAGGAGGAGGTGGAGGTAGGATTAATTTTTGATTCTCCCAACTCATTATTCCTCCTGATCTTTGTAGAGTCTAGACCTGAGTATGTCATTCTCAGTTTAAAACCATTAAATGGAGCCGGGCAAGAGAGCATATGCCTTGTAATCCCAGAGACTGGGAAGGCTGAGGCAGGCGGATAGAAAGTTGGAGACCAGCCTCAGCAATTTAGCAAGATACTCAGCAACTTAGTGAGACCTTGTCTCAAAATTAAAAGAGGACTGGGATTGTAGCTCAGTGGTAAAGCGTCCCTGGGTTCAATCCCCAGCAAACCCCAATCCAGGGGGGAAAAAAGTTAAATGTTTAAAAATCCAAAGCCTGATCTTCTGGAACCCAGACTTCCTCTTTTCTTTTGGCCCTCTCCTCCTGTATTTCAGCTACTGTGGCTTTTGTTCCTTTTTTTTTTTTTTTTTTTTGGTACTGGGGACTGAACCCAGGGGCACTTTACCACTGAGCCACATCCCCAACCCTTTTTTATATTTTATTTACAGACAGGGTCTTGCTGAGTTGCTGAGACTGGCTTGGAACTCCCGATCATTGTGCCTCAGCCTACTGAGCTGCTGGGATTATAGGCAAGTGCCACCACTCTTGGCTTTTGTTCCTCTTCATTTTATCTTCAGGGAAGTCTTTCCTGACTCTCTAGATTAGATAAGGACTCTACACTTAGAGAGGTTCTAATGCTTCTTCCGTGACAGTGCACATATATCTTGTTTGCAATGTAGGTTTGAGTGATGATTGCATAAGTGTCTGTTTCCCTTTGTAGAATGCAAGCCCCATAAGCACAGCTAGGACCTGATGTGTGGCAGTTGTTCAGTGTTTAATGAGTGACTCTAGTTTTCCCAGCACTTCATAATAAGGGGATCATTTGAGAGTGATTTTGTTAAGAAAGATTCACTAAATCAATGGATGAGTACCACATTTGTGGAAATGTTACACTCCATGCAGTGGAAACTACAGAGCTATGGAAACACCAAAACCAGTCAAAGTGATTGGAGTGTAGCCTCATCCCAACCTGATTATTTTTCTCTTGAGAGTAGGCCCTTTCTATCCAACATAGAGTTGATCTTCTGTATTAAAACAATAGATAAGGGCTGGGATTGTAGTTCAGTGGTAGAGCACTTGCCTAGCATGTGTGAGGCAGTGGGTTTGATTCACAGCACCTCATATAAATAAGTAAAATAAAGGTCCATTGACAAATAAAAAATTGCCGGGTTTCTGTTCTCAAGACTAAAAGGCTCAGGGGTCACTCTAGTTAAACTGGGCTAACTGGGCTGCACGAAATAACCACACAAGAGACACAAATACCTTTATCTTTGGGGTTGCTGTGACGGCTCCTCTGACCTTAAGGGTCCCCAGAAGGAGAGAGAGAGAGAGAGCACACACACACACACACACACACACACTGAGGCAAGGGGTCAGGTTTCAGGGGGCTGAGTCTATCTTCATGATGTCCACTGTCAGCAGGTTGACTGACACCTGGGTAGGCCACACCCAAGGGCACAGTAAGAGGAGGGGACACACACAAGGCATTTCCATGGAAGATTCTATCCTAAACAGGGCAAGGGGTTATATTACAAAGGAACAGGTGAGCATAGCTTCACCCATGGGGCTGTAGCAAGACACACCCATTTCTGTGACACCCATTTCAGCACCCAGCTGGGGAGTGTAACTCAGTCACCCATAAGATTGGCCTCCCACAGAAAATAATTTAAAAAACTAAACAGAAACAATAGACAAGCAAGAATCTGTCACTGTGGCTCCTATGTAAGACAGACCAGGAAAAGCTAACCAGCCAGGGGTATCTTGACTGCATGGTGATCAGAGATTTACATGAAGATGTGGCAATTGACCTTGTGACATGATGACCAGCTGTCATCTAGATCTCCCAGCTGCCTCATTTGGTTCTGAATCTTCCTTTCTGAATAACCTTCTGATGGTCACTTTGCTTCCTGGCAGATATTGTGCCATTTGGCACATTTGTCATAGTATTAAGTAGTTATTCTGAATCATGTGGTATCTGGTTAGCATATTGTCCTTTTTTGTTTTTGTTTTTGTTTGCCTAATCATTGATAAAATTGAGTTCCTAATGCCCACTGTGTGTGTGTGTGTGTGTGTGTGTGTGTGTTGTGCTGGGGATCAAATCCAAGGGCACTCAACCGATAAACTATATCCCCAGCCTGTTTTATTTTTTTATTTTGAGGTAGGGTCTCACTAAGTTGCCAAGAATGACTTTGAACTTGCAATCCTGCCTCAGCCTCCCAAGTCATGGAGATTATAGGAATGAGCCATTGCTCCTGGCTCTGATATACATTAAAAGGAGTTTATCAAGAACTGGAGGATAGCTCAGTTGTAGAGCACTTGCCAAACATTCATGAGTCCCTGGGGTTCATCCTTAGCACCACCATTAAAACAAAACAAAATAAAAACCATCTTCTCATTCTGATTATAATTTTATTTCTTGGTTTGATTCTCAAAGGTTAAATTTGTATGTGTGTGTGATTGGAGATTAAACCCAGGGCCTTGCACATGATGCCAGGCAAGTTGTCTCCCGCTAAGCTCCGTTCCTACCCCTTTTTAATTTTATTTGAGACAGTGTTTGCCCAGACTTGCCATCCTCCTGCCTCATCCTCCCAAGTAATTGGGATTACAGGCATATTGGTTATGATTTTGTCAAGAGTATCAACTCTTGGATTTATGGATTTGTTCTACTTTTTTCAGTTTTTTTTTTAATATTTATTTTTTAGTTATAGGTGGACACAGTGCCTTTATTTTATTTTTATATGGTGCTGAGGATTGAACCCAGTGTCTCATGCATGCTAGGCAAGCACTTCACCTCTGAGCCACAACCCCAGCCCCCTTTTTTCATGTTTAACAAGACTTTTTTTTTTTTTCTTTTTTGGTGCTGGGAATCGAATCCAGAGCCTTGTGCATGCAAGACAAGCAATCTACCAACTGAGCTATAGCCCCAGCCCAACAAGACATTTTTTTTCCTACTTGTAAGATTATTCCTTTCTTCTTGTTTTCTTTGGGACCTTCAATAGGATGGCCATACAGATTTCACCAACACAGTGATTTATGATCCGAGACCCAAAGGAGCCAGCCATGTGAAGAAACTTTGGGAAAAGGATGTGTTATTTTGCATTAAAGGAACGGAAAGTACTGACACCCTGAGCAAGAACAAACTTAGGAAGAGTAAGGAGTAGAGTGGCAGTGGGGAGAGTGGTCGAGATGAATTGAAAAGCATACAGAATAGGTATCCCCAGAATATCAGGAGTGAACATTATGTAGGTCTTTATCCTGAATGAATGAATGAATGAATGAATGAATACTGTCTTTGATATAGCTCGGGTAAATAGGAAATAATTGAATTTCTTAAATTCATTTTGAGACACTTTTTTTTTTAAAGTTTTTAATTGTGCTAACAGATGCATAACATAAATTTTATGTTATCTTAATCTCTCTACAAAAAGTTTTTTTTTTTAATACTGAGGATTGAACTTAGGGGTGCTCCACCAATTCCAGCTCTTTTTTATTGAAACTGGGTCTCATTAAGTTGCTGATTTTCCTGCCTCAAGTCTCCCAACCTGCTAGGATTAAGGACATGCATCACTATGCCCTGCTAAAATTTTTTAATTGCTTGGGATGTAGTTTAATGGTAGAACACTTGGCTAGCAAATGCCAGGCCCTGGGTTCAATCTGTAGCACCATACACACAAAAAATATATATAAAATACAAACAATATATTATATTGCCAGGCTTGATGGAACACACCTACAACCCCAATGACTTGAGAGGCTGAGGCAGGAAGACCAAAAGTTTGAGGTTGACCTTGGCAACTTGGCAAGACCCTGTCTCAACATAAAATTGAGGACTGGGGATATAGCTTAGTTGGTAGAGTGCTTGTCTCACATACACAAGGCTATGGGTTCAATGCCCAGCACCACAAAAATAAAAAAATAAAATAAAATAAAATTTGAAAAGAGGCGAGGATACAGCTCAGTGGTAAAGTGCCCCTGATTTTAACCCCCAGTATCAAAATAAATAAAATAAAATAAATTGTTTGGGGAACTGCTATACTTTTTCCTCCAATGGCTGTATTACTTCACTCTCCACCAACAGTGTACAAGGGAGGCTTCCAGTTTCTCCACATCTTTGTCAACATCATAGAATAAGTCTTTTATCTTTTTTTCTCCCATTCCTCTACTCTGTGTATACATATACAGAGAATACATGTGTGTGTATGTATGTATGTATATATAAATATGTATGGATGTTTGTATATAAAACTGTCAACAAAAAATAGTCTATACATTTTTGATTTAGTAAAAACATGCTCATCTGCAAGTGATGGAAATATGAGCAATTTCTATGTTTTCTAGGTATTTTACCAAAGGCATGGATTATATATTGTTTTTAACTATAATCTAAACAAAAAGTCAAGATTATTTGAAAATAAAAATCTCTGAAAATGGACTACTCTCATGTATTTTTCATCTCTTAGGATTGTTTCAGGTAGTTCCATGGCTCTTTTGCATTATTCAAAGGAAACTTCATATTTGCTACCTCCAAACAATGAGGACTGGGAAGAGAAAGGCATCCCTGACTTTGTCTATGGGCAGAAGGAACTTATAGTGGAAGGCATTCAGTGGCCAAGGAATGCACCCAGCACCCTGGACACACCATCGAGATTTGACTCTGCCCTTTGTTCTGCCTGGAGGCAGAGGGTGGAGCTAGGGCTCTTTCGATACCGCCTAGGAGAGTTGCAAACTCAAACCCTCCCTGGTGCTGTGGGTTTTGTGGCTCAGCTAAATGTGGAACGAGGTGTACAGAGGAGACGTCCTCAGAACATCAAGAGTGTAAGGCAGGCATTTGACCCTGAACAGTTTAACTTCAACAAGATCCGGCCAGGAGAAGTTCTCTTCCGTCTGCACCGGAAGCCCAATGACTGTAGTGCTGTCCAGCAAGAGGACATCCTGGTGATAATCAATGTCAGTCCCCTGGAGTGGGGCCATGTGCTGCTGGTTCCTGAGCCTACGCGGGGGCTACCCCAGCGCCTGCTACCAGGTGTGCTGCGGGCAGGGCTTGAGACTGTGTTGCTGAGCTCTCACCCAGGCTTCAGGGTTGGCTTCAACAGCCTGGGGGGATTGGCCTCAGTGAACCACCTCCACCTGCACGGCTACTACCTGGCCCACAGATTGCCTGTGGAGGGGGCACCAAGTGAGGCTCTAGACCCAGGGGGCCATTTGTATTTGCTCCAGGCTGTCCCAGCTCCTGGTTTCCTCTTTTACACTAGTGGGCCAGGGCCTGACTTAGAAGCCTTGATTAGCAGGGTATGTCGAGCCACTGACTACCTCACTGACCACGAAATTGCACATAACTTGTTTGTAACTCGGGGAGCTCCACCTGGAAAGGCATCAGCATCCACAATGCTCACAGGGGTCCGAGTAATTCTGTGGGCCCGGAAGTCCAACTTTGGAATAAAGGAAGGTGAGGCTTTCAATGTTGCCCTCTGTGAACTGGCTGGCCACCTCCCTGTCAAAACATACCAGGACTTCAGCAGCCTGACAGAGGAGGCTGCCCTGGCCCTCATTCAGGACTGTCTGCTGCCCCCAGCACAAGCAGATGAGATACAGGAAGCACTGGTAGCCTTGATGGCCCAGGAAGAGCTGTGATCCTTCTGGAGGTATTTATTTGCTAACTGACTGAATCCCTTTCCATTCATAGTCCTTCATTGTCTAGTCATCTGGTCATTTATTTTTATGATTGCTTTCCTATTTCTCTCAGCCTAAGGGGAAGAATAAAGAAAGAACTGATGACTGGTCTTGGTGAAGGAGAGAAACCTTGGAATAAATTGAATCAGCATGCTCTCCTGGTTATATCTGCTGTTTCTCACCTTTCTTCCTTTTCTCACCTTCTCTGTTTGTTCCTCCTTTGCCCACTGTTTTGTTGTTGTTGCTGTATGTTTTTTGTTTTGAGACTGGCTCTCCCTATGTTATTCAGGCTGTCCTCAAATTCCTGAACTGTTGGGCTCAAGTGATTTTCCTGCCTCAGCCTCCCAAATAGCTGGGATTACAGATGAATGCCACCATACCTGACTGCAGCTCAGGCAGTCAGATGCCAGAATCTGAGCTGGGACAATGTGCATTTGTGATTCTCTCTACCATTTATTTTCTTTTCTTTCCCTCCCTCCCTCCCTTCCTTCCTTCCTTTTTCTATTCCATCACTTATTTTTATTTCTTCATCCTTCTCTTGAATTTGTTCCTGCTGCTCCATCAAGATGCCCTACTTCTTCATCTCCCTAAAAATTCATCTTGAATTTTCCTCCAGTCCCCAACATAGAGTTGAATGGTCTTTCACAATATCTCTTGTGAAAACAGGGTGTACTCATAACATTAAAGATGCAGGTCCTCTTACTATTTCCATTTAACAAATGAAGAAAGGGAAGTTGACAGATTATCACTTATCCAAGGTCAGCCAGATAACACATGGGATTTGAACTGCAGCTCAGGCAGTCAGATGCCAGAATCTGATCTGGGACAATGTGCATTTGTGATTCTCTCTTCAGTCAGCAATGCCCATAAAGTCATAAAGTGTAATGCTGCCCTTAAAATTTTATGGCCTTCTGGAGTCTTTCTCTGGCATTTCACAAGCTCCACATGATGTAGGCTTCTTGAAAAATCCAGAGCTAAGTCTTTACTTCTCTATCTGTATCTGAGTCAGTGTAAGATTTTATTTGTTTGTGCTACTGGTGATTGAACCCAGGGCCTTGTACATGCTAGGCAAGTATTCTACCCTATAGCTAAGCTATATCCCCAGCGCTTTTAAAATTTTATTTTGAGACAGGATCTCAGTATACTGTCCAGGCTGACCTCAAACTTGTGATCCTTCTGCCTTAGCCTCCCAAGTAGCTGGGATTACAGGCGTGTACCACCATGCCCAGCTGTGGAAATTTTTGAAAAATGAATGCTTTGTCTTGTTCTGTTACTCCAGTGATCTCCACACTGATTCCAGAAGAACCAGTCAAAAGGTACTATTATAGGGCTGGGGTTGGAGCTCAGTGGTAGAGCACTTGCCTGACATGTGTGAGACACTGGGTTCAATTCTCAGCACTACATATAAATAAATAAATAAATAAATAAATAAATAAATAAATAAATAAAAGGTCCATCAACAACTAAAACATATGTATACATACAAAAAATTTTTTAAAGGGTATAGTTGTTAGAGTTATATATAAAAAGCCATTTTTCCTTGTGCTTCCTTGATTCTTGTATAGCAAAAGTAACCCCAAAAAGGAAGAAAGAAAAGAAAAAAATCCTGAGTTTAGTTTTCAATAGGGATGATCACTGCCACTTATTTATTTTGTGGGGATTGAATCCAAGGGTGCTTTACCTTTGAGCTCCATCCTCAGCCCTTTTTATTTTTTGAGTCAGGATCTCACTAAATTGCTGAGGCTGGCCTGCAATCCTCCTGCCTCAGCCCCAGCCACTGGGATTTCAGATGTGCACAACCATGCCCAGTCCACTGCCACTACTCTTACCCCAAACCTCCTGAATGAATGGGAGTTCCTACTCACAGTGTAGGAGTCAGGGGGGCCTTCAGAATAAGGTGCCACCCGCTAGCTGGAAGAGTTCTCCCAGCAGAGGTTTGGGCTCCTCTGCCTTCTATTGTGTGGGCACAGCTTTGGCTGTGGCTTAGGCCCATAGGTACTTGGCTCCCTATGCCCAGGCCTGTAGAAAGCTTTATCGTAGAATTTTTTATTATTATTATTTTTTAAAGAGAGAGAGAGAGAATTTTTTAATGTTTATTTTTTAGTTTTTCGGCAAACAATATCTTTGTTTATTTGTGGTGCTGAGGAGTGAACCCAGACCGCACTCATGCCAGGCGAGTGGGCTACCGCTTGAGCCACATCCCCAGCCCTATCATAGAATTTTAATTGGAAATTTTATATCACAAAAGAAGTTACAGTCTCATTGAGATAAAGCAGACTATGCACCCATAACCTATGTTATAAGAAAAACAATTAAGCATTTTTACATTCTCTCAAATTTTTGACTACCCTCATGTTTTTGGCAAATGGCAGTAATTTTAACGTTTTTCTGAGAGCTTTTGCATATACAAGCTCAATATGCTTGCTTTTCCTTGCTTGCTCCCCAAAGGGAATGCATGAGATGATATTACAGCTAAGTAGATTTTGTGTCCAAGGTGATGAGCCAAATATCTGGATTTCTCCAGTTTGTCCCTGGGACTTCCCTGACCCAAATGAGTTTTTCTATAAAGCGGGGCAGGGTAAAGTCAAATAGGTTTTCTTTATGATAGTGTTTCTCAGCTGTTTATATGCTTTAGGAATTGTTTATAAAGTTTTGTTGTTGTTGCTTTAGGAATCTTTAAGAAGGTGGGCCAGGGATATGGCTCAGTAGTAGAGCACTTGCCTAGCATGCGTGAGACACTGGCTTTGATCCCTGGCATCACATAAAAATAAATAAAATAAAGGTACATCTACAATTAAAAAAATTTTTTTTAAAAAGAAGGGAATTTTATCTGAAGCTTTGTCTCAGCCAGAATATGGAATATATAGGCTCTTTGTACTCAGAGCCATGATAGGAACTGCTGATCCAAACAGGGCCTCTCCACCTTTTTGCCTCTTGATTCAGGACCTCAAATGCTAAGGGCCTATGGATTTGATCTAATGGGAAACCTTGAAGAGTACCAAATGGTGTAGTAACAGATTTGCATTTTAGGAAAAATACTCAAGCTGCAGATGTAAAGTGGTGGGAATATAAGGTTAGGGGGCTAATTCTATAAACTAGGTCCACTGTGATGACCCCCACATGCTTTCTTTTAAAAAGCAATTTACCTGGCTTAAGTCAGGATATGTTACACCTCAGCAAACAACCTATTATCTGAAGAAGAAATGCAGGGTAACAGAAGTTAACCCTGAAGTCGGGGGACTTCTGTGACTTATATAGGCCAGATCCCAGAATTCAGGAAGATAAGGACAATTCCCCCTAACTCTAAAACCCATAAGAACAAGTTCTAGTTAGAACCAGTCAACATGGGCAAATGCCCTGGATCTTTACTATACACAGTTGGGACTTGGAAGTTTGATGTGATTGTGCTGTCAGTCAAATGTCAAGAGGTGTCAGGCGCAGTGGCACACGTCTGTAATCCCAGTGGCTTGGAAGGCTAAGGCAGGAGGATTGCAAGTTCAAAGTCAGCCTCAGCAACTCAGTGAGGCACTAAGCAACTCAGTGAGACCCTGTCTCTAAATAAAAATTTAAAAAAGCACCCCTGGTTCAATCCCCGGTACCAAAAAAAAAAAAAAAAAAAAAAATCAAGAGGTGTTGGGCTGGGGTTGTGGCTCACTGGTAGAGTGCTTGCCTAGATGTGTGAGGCACTGGGTTCGATTCTTAGCACCACATATAAATTAACAAATAAATAAAAAAAATATTTTAAAAAATATTAAAAAAAGAAAGTCAAGAGGTGGACCTGGGGTGGGACCCTCCAGAAAACTCCCTGAGACCCCCCCCAGGAGGGCAAGAGAGGGGCACCATCCCTCTGAGAGGACCCCCTCTCACGCTTGAGAGTGTTCCCTTTTCCTGTGAACTCATGTCTGCTACACTGAGTGACACGTCTGAAATCTTTCTGATCACAAGAACTGCTAATAGAGGACTGTTGTAGTGTCTCAGCTCTGCAGTAGGCGGTGCTCTGTAACAAGGAGGATAAATGAAGAATAGTCAAAGAATTCAATGAAGAGTTTGCTGAAACAGTGATTCAGGCAACAAATGAAGATGGACCAGATCCTAGGACAGTGCTTGTAACACTGAATATTTGTTGACAAAATGAGAAAAACTAGAAACAAGGGACTCCAGAGTATTTCAAGGAGATCTTATATAAAGTCAAGCCCCACCTCTTGACTTTTAAAAAAAATATTTTTTAGTTGTAGATGGTCACAATACCTTTATTTTGTTAAGTTTTTTAATGTGGTGCTGGGGAGATTATATATATATATATATATATATATATATATATATATATATATATATATAAAATCATGTTGAAGAAAGAGCAAGAAATCTATGAATTTTAAAAATGTCCACTTAGAGCTGGGGTATAGCTCAGTGGTAGAGTACTGGCCTAGCATATGCAAGGTCCGGGGTTCCATCCACAGCACCAAAAGTGATACAAAAACAAACAGAAAAACAGAAGTCCTGTCCTCCTAAAGGATGGAAAATTTTAAAGTGTCTTCTGAATTTAGCCCACAGGATAATCTGAGTGACAAGTTGGGCTAAGTTTTGTGGAGATGGCTAGCAGAAGTCAAAGTGGGAGGGTGTCGGGGAAAAGAGGCCACGGTGACAGAACAATGTCATGAAGGGGTTCCGTTATTCCTTAATGGAGCTGTCTTAGACCATCAGGCTGAAAGCGCTGGAAGATATGTGTCTTAATCAGAGCTTTCCTAGAGGGCAAAGACTGTTCACTGCATGATTTCGGAAAAACCGAAGAAAAGAGAGCAGCTATTCGTCCCCAACGCAGACTTCATTTGTGCGTTCAAGAAAAGATGGGAGTGGGGAGGTGCGAAGTTGTGCCAAATCAGGAGAACTACAAGTCCCATGACGCACGCGCGGGGCGGGTCCTCCTGGGCCGCGACCCGCCCCTCTTCCGCTTCCATCTGTAAGCAAACGTAGCCCCGGCCAAGATGGCCTCAGCCGGCTCCCGGGTGGGTGTGGTCCGCGGAAGGACCCGCCCCCGGAACGCTTGTGCAATGGGAACCGCCCTCGTATCCATGGCGACGGCGGCGGCGGCTGCCGTCGGCTAGCTAAAAAAGGCGCTGCCGCCGCCTGGATCTCGGAGTCAGCAGTTAACCCCCAGGGGGAGCGGGCTCCCTTTCGCGACAGCCCGGACAGACGGTCCTGTGGAACTAATAGGCGGTCCCCGACACCAGCAACGCCCAGGAAGAGCCGAAACGGGCGAAGGGCGGCCATGAGCGAGCAGCTGGGTTCTACCCCAGGCCGCTAGGGGCAGCCTCAGCAGTCCCTCAGCTCTTCTCGGAACCTCGGGTGGGCAGTGTCCGCCGTAGGCTCCCCTTCTGTGGTCAGAGCCCAAGGGTTGCCTGGCCCCAGTGTGTTTACATGGAGAATCTGAATCCTGAGGCAGAGAAAGGGCCGACCTATTGTACATTTGATCTTCAGTTGTATTACAAAGCAAATTATCTCCCCAGTTCACCCAGCCATCCCTCATTCCATTCAGGAACAAAAGAGCCATGGTTATGGTTCTTACCATCTCTGCTCATTACTGCACGCACCACAGTGTGTTGTATGATCCAGTGTGATCTTGGGTGGTAGTCAGAGAATCCATATCTCCTGGCATCCCACACACCCTCACCCCAACTTGGAAACATCCTGTTATTCAGTGGGATTGTTCTGTTCCGAAGGAGCTGCAACATTTTCTTACAACACCACGAAGGGCCTTTGGGTGGATCCCTGCAAGCCATCCTGGGCCTTAATTCCTACCCTCTTCCCCTTAGAATCTAAGAGAATGGAACCTAGTACCTGTAAGACCAGTGAATCTGAGGAAGACTCTGTTGAGGAAGAGGAATCTGAGGAGGAGTGTGTTAAAGAGGAAGATACCACCCCTTCTAACTCTTCACAGCAGGCACTCTCAAAGGCAGACTATAAGGCATTTGAGAATGGGGATCCCTTAGCCATTATAGCCAAGAAAATTCCAAAGAAAATCATAGCCCCAACTGACACAGATGACTTAGAAGTTGGGAGGAGAAAGAGAAGGCGGAAACGCAGGTAACCTTCCCTGGACCTCCTCACCTGCCTGGCTCCAGAGTCACCCCCTGACCTCCCTTCAGCATTTGGGAGACTGGGACCTAAGCTCTTCCCTTCAGTCTTTGGAAGAGGAAAGGCTGGAGCATGATTTATCTTTTGGTACAACAGAAACAAAAATCAGAAACATTTGGGCTAGTTCATTTTGGAATTTCAGTATATTTTTTTCCATGCTGGGGATTGAACCCAGGGGTCTTTACCACTGAGCTATATCCCAGTCAGTCCTTTTTATTTTGAGACTAGGTTTTGCTAAATTGCTTAGGGCCTCATTAAGTTGCTGAGGCTAGCCTCAGACTGTGATCCTCCTGTCTCAGCCTCCAGAGTCCCTGGGATTACAGGCATGCTCACCATGCCTGGCAGAATTTCAGCATGTTTTTATCACCCTTGTCTTTCCTTTAAGTGGCTTCTAGAAAAAATGAATTGTGTTTGTTGGATATCTCTGCATCTGAGAGCCTGGCAGCCCAGGGTCTGTCTTTCCCTTCCACTCTGCCTGATTTCTGCTATTCCTCCATTCCAGACCCTTGGCCATCAACCTGACCAACTGCAAGTATGAAAGTGGTAAGCGCCCGACTCACACCCTTTTACACAAGAGGGCTGTCATTCTTACTAGGGAGAAGGAGCTCCAATCAAGCTTCCAGCGTTGGATCTTGCCAGGCTGTCCTAGAGCCCATGTTGAGGCTCATGAGGTTCCCCTGGCTCAGCTACTGGCAGTTGAGATATTGCTATTCTAACTAGTCTCAATGGTAGGGACAATATCTTCAGTTAACTAACAAAAACAACGAAAAAAGTTCTGGGTATGGTGGCTCATGCCTGTAATCCTAGAGACTTGGGAGGCTGAGGCAGGGAAATAAGTTTGAATCCAGCCTCAGCATTTGGTGAGATCCTATCTCAAAATTTTAAAAAGATTTTTAAAAGGCTAGGGGGCGTATAGCTCAGTGATAGAGCACTACCGTGTTCAATCCCCAGTACTGCTAGAAATAAAATACATGAGAGTCACCATTGCCCTACCCTCCCCAGATTTGTGCAAAGATGAGACAAGCTTAAAACAGTTTGGGTGGGTGGCTAGGGATGTAGTTCAGCACGTGCCTAGCATGTGTGAGGTCCTGGGTTCGATCCCTAACACCTAAAAAACAAAACAAACAAACAACAATAACAACAACAACAACAAAAAAAAACCCAAACCCCTACTTAAAAAAAAAAAAATCCCCAATTAGGTCAGTGTTTTCCTTCTTCCCCTCTTTTTCCCACTGCCATCTGTGCAAGAGGCCACCCAGAGTGTTAGGCACCAGTGTGGTCCCTACCTATGGTCAGCTCTGCAGAAACAATCCTGATTGAGAGATAGGACTGGCAGAATCATAAGGCCAGGCGCTCATTTTCTCTGCTGCATATTTTGGAAGGGCCTGACAGCCTCATGAACTTGGAATTGCCACCTGATAACTAAGATGCAGAACTGAAGTAAGAGTCACCTCCCTCTTCAACCTGGCCTCTGGTCAGATCTGTTCCTTTCCTGACCCATCTAGAGTTCCAGGGCTTGTTGCTGGTGCTTAGGCTGGCAACACTGACCCCCCCTATCTCTGCAGTGCGGCGGGCAGCCCAAATGTGTGGCCTGAAAGAAGTGGGGGAGGACAAAGAATGGACTGTGTATTGGACAGATTGCTCCGTCTCACTGGAACGAGTCATGGACATGAAGAGGTTTCAGGTACCAACTCCTGAGCTAAGATTCAGAATGACTATTCCTAACCCCTGTCCAGGCATGAGGCTGCCATTCTTTTTTGGCTGTACCCTGTTTAGACAGGAATGGCTATACTAAGGATCTTCTGTTCCAATGGAAATATTCTCCTCTTGGCTCTCTGGAGCTTCTGTTATCTGAAGGAAGTTTCCGGTGGGTAGATAATTGCCCATTATTTGCTCTGCCTGGTGACATCTATGTCTAGCCTGCCTGCTCCAAGGCAGGACTGAGAGGTAGCCTCAGAGCTAACAACAGGGCCATCTCAGCATCTTAGAACCCATCAGTGTGGTGGTGCATGCCTGTAATCCCAGCGATTTGGGAGGCTGGGGCAGGAGGATCACAAGTTCAAAGCTAGCCTCAGCAACTTAGCAATGACCTACGCAATTTAATGAGACCCTCTCTCAAAATAAAAACAATAAGGACTAGAGATGTGGCTCAGTGGTAAAGCACCTCTGGTTTCAATTCCCAAGTACAAAGAAGTGGGGGGAGGAAGAGAAGACAGCGTGTCAGTTTGGGGTCCTGCCTGGCAGCAAGAAAATCAGGGAAGATGGACCAGGTCCCTAAGAAGAATGTTCCTGCCAGGCTAGGGATGTAGCTTAGTGATCAAACACTAGTACATGCAAGGCCCTGTGTTCAATCTTCAGTATCTCACATACACAAAAAATATACCTGCCTCAAGGTATTTTTATTACCCTCTAACAGATTCCTTGTGGTGAATATCAATAAAATAAGTCATGTGTCACTTAATGACAGAGATACATTTCTGAGGAATGCATTGGTAGGTGATTTCATCATTGTTTGAGTTTTGTAAATGTATTTTACGAAATGGATGGATATGATATCACCAGATGACATAATCTTATAGAACCTTATATGTAGTTATTGAGTAAAATGCCCTTATACAATGCATGACTGTAATTAAAAAGGGTCTGGTGGGGCTCCACGGGAAGCTGAGTGATAGGTTTTCAAGTTCGAGGACAGCCCGGGCAACTTAGCAAGACCTTGTCTTAAATTTTTAAAAAGGCGATGGGGGTGCAGCTCACTTGTAGAGTACTTGTCTAGCAGGCTTGAGGAGCTGGGTTAGATCCTTAGGACACAATAAAAAAGGGAGTTGGGTGTGTATAGGCTTATTTTGAGGGGAAGCCAGTAAGGGATTGAAGAAACTATAACCTGTATCAAGATAGACAGCAAGTTCTACAAGTATTCAAGAAGCTTTGAAAAGAAATGCAGAAAGCTATTGTCAGATAAGGATGGCAATAATAACAGCTGTTATTGAGGACTTACTATGCATCTAACAGATACCATGTTAAGTGCTTTTATGTTGTTTTTTTTATTATTAAATCCTTAATAATGTTGGTTGTGATGGAGCAAACCTATAATCCCAGCAATTGGGTGGCAGGGGTGACTGAAGCAGGAGGATTACAAATTGAAGGACAGCCTGGGAAACTTAGTGAAACCCTATCCCAAAATAAAAATAAAAGGGCTGGGGATGTAGCTCAGTGGTAGAGCATCCCTGAGTTCAATCCCCAGTACCAGGGAAAAAAATCCTTAAAAACAAAATCCTGATGGCTGGGATATATCTCAGTTGATAGAAGGCTTGCCTCACATGCAGAAGGCCCTGGGTTCAATCCCTAACATCACACACACACACACACACACAAAAAAAAAAAAAAAAAAAAAATCCTGAGCAGCAGGTATCCTTTTGTTAAAAAAGGAAGCTGAAGCTCAGAAATACTAAGTTTATACAGCTAGTGACTGAGAAAGTCATGAAGGACAGAGCAGCCAGAGGTTTCCTAGCAGGCACCATGTCATCTCTAGGTGTCATGGAGTGCATTTCCTTCAGCTGGTCTTCAGTTTCCTTTTCTATTTCCTATCTTTTAGAGAATGTTTTTTATGATTTCTTTGTACTGCCATACATTGTTACTTTATAAGACAAGTACTGGTGGTGGTCTGAGGGATATTAGAAGATGGCTAGAAGGCCCAGAGGTCTGGCCTAGTACACATTCTTCTCTCTTGTCCTCCTCCTTTTTTTGAATGGGATGGTAGCGGGTACCAGGGATTGAACTCAGTGTCACTTAACCACTGAGCCACATCCCCAGCCTTATTTTGTATTTTATTAGAGACAGGGTCTCACTAAGTTGCTTAGCACCTTGCTAAATTGTTGAGGCTGGCTTTGAATTCATGATCCTTGGGCCTCCACCTCCCAAGCTGCTGGGATTATAGGCATGGGCCACTGGGCCAGCCTCTGTCCTTTTTTTTTTTAATATTTATTTTTTAGTTATATTGGACACGATACCTTTATTTTCTTTATATGTGGTGCTGAGGATCGAACCCAGGGCCCTGCACATGCTAGGCAAGTGCTCTACCACTGAGCCACAACTCCAGCCCCTTGTCCTTTATTTTTGAATGAAGGATGTGCACATTGGGTGTAGAAGCCTTGGGAGGGTTTCTCACCTGCCTTAGGGAATCTTCCTGTTTCTACCTTTGGGGTAGTAAGGACAGTGCTCACCTCCACTGTGACTCCTCCCTTCTTCCCCATCCTCTTCCATGATTTTTTGGGATGCCCACGCCCCAGGAGCTGTCATTTACTCTAGGAGACAATATAACTAACTGGCTCTGTTTCAGAAAATCAATCACTTTCCCGGCATGACAGAAATCTGCCGCAAAGATCTGCTGGCTCGGAATCTCAACCGCATGCAGAAACTCTATCCTACCGAGTACAACATCTTCCCCCGTACCTGGTGCCTCCCTGCAGAGTAAGTGAATCTAGCTTCCCAGGCTGAGATCCTAGGGGCAGGAATGGGTTGCCCTCCTTTGTCCCCTCCAGACTCTGGTCTGGTATGTCTCAGGGGGATGAAAGTGGACCAAGAAAGTTTCAGCTGATCAAAGAAAAGTGAGTCTGAGAACAGTGTTCCAGGAAGAGTGTGGATTAGATAGCCTAGATAGCAAGAATATAGCCACAGGCCCCTAGGTCAGCCATGATTTGCAGAAACCTTTTGACCTGCTCCTCTCTGCACATAGCTATGGGGACTTCCAGTCCTATGGTCGGCAGCGAAAAACCCGCACTTATATCTGCAAGCCAGACAGTGGCTGTCAGGGACGTGGCATCTTCATCACCCGGAACCCCCGTGAGATCAAGCCAGGAGAGCACATGATCTGCCAGCAGTACATCTCCAAGGTGAAAGATACCTCAGTACCATTAGGCTCCTCCCTGGCCCTGAGGTTCCTTGTCTCTTCCAAAGCCAGGGAGGAAGCCAGTTTTGGGCTCCTACCCTTTCTGCTGTCCCCATTATCCTGGAGGCAGTATGGAGCCATGGTTTAGTCAGCCTGCCTAGGTTTGAATCTCATCTTTTCTACTTCCTAGATATGTGACCTCAGGTAGGTGAATGACCTTTTTTTTTTTCTTCTTGCCTCCATTTCCTATTGTTTCATGGGAAGAGTAACAGTAACTACTTTATATGATTTTTGTGAAAATTAAATGAGTTGTGTATTTGAAGCACTTACAACAGTGTGTGGCACATAGTAAGCACTTCAAAAATTAATTACAGGGCTGGGGCTATAGCTCAGTGGCAGAGAGCTTTCCTCTCATATGGGAGGTACTGGGTTCGATCCTCAGCACCACATAAAAATAAAGGTTATTGTGTCCACCTACAACTAAAACAAATATTTAAAAAAATAAAGGCATGCTATCCATCTACAACTACAAAAAAAAATTTTTAAGTTAATTATATTCCTTCTGGGTTTGTGTGCTCTTAGCCTTTCCTTATTGATGGCTTCAAGTTTGATATGCGAATCTACGTCCTGATCACATCCTGTGACCCTCTTCGGATCTTCATGTATGAGGAGGGCCTGGCCCGCTTTGCCACCATGCCATATGTGGAGCCCAGCCACAACAACCTGGTGAGGGGGCAGAATGACACCCGTTCTCTTCCATTGCATAAGTGCTGATGTTCTAGGGAGAAACGAGGTAGAGATTTTTCATTATCACACAAGAAAAAGGAAGGAAGTCAGCGAAAGCCATGACACCAAGCTATGAGGACAGCACTTGGTGGGTGGTGACTGAGAAAAGGTGCCCATCACACCCCACCCTCTTCCCCAGAATCTTATAAAAGGACAGTCCCCTGTTGCAAAGGGCCAGGAGACCAGCAATACTAGGGAGGGGTAGAGAAGGCCATAAGACACTGGAGAGGTGGGCCGCATGGAAGCAGTCTGAGCCCATGGGGCTACTTGCTTCACAGGAAGATGTCTGCATGCACCTGACTAACTATGCTATCAACAAACACAATGAGAATTTTGTCCGGGATGATGCTGTGGGCAGTAAGAGGTACTTGCTACTCTGTTTTTTCCTCCTTCCTCTATCCTTTAGCCCTACAATTTCAGGAGCCCATGAAACCCAGCTGACTTTTGGGAGGCTGACTGCTAAGGAAAAACTGTCTTTCTAGACCCTGGATCTGTGCCTGAGTCTATCAGCCCCAAGCCCCACCCTAATAACTAATCCCCGTTCCGAGCTGCTAGCAGCTCTTTGACACACAGGGGCCCAGGCCTGGAATTAGGGTTAGCATCAGGGAACCAGCTGCCTGTAGCCAGGCCCTGGTGGCATAGAAATCTGTATTCCTCTGAGCACTGGGCCTCACAGGAAGCTGTCAACACTCAACGCCTGGCTGCGAGAACACAGCTACAACCCCCGAGAGCTGTGGGGCAACATCGAGGACATCATCATCAAAACTGTCATCTCAGCCCACTCTATTCTTCGCCACAACTACCGAACTTGTTTTCCTCAATATCTGAGTAGTGGTACATGTGCCTGTTTTGAGATCCTTGGTTTTGATGTTTTGCTGGACCACAAGCTGAAGCCCTGGCTGCTGGAGGTAAGGTTTCTCTCCTCATCTTTGCAAAAGCAAGATTCAGAGGCTTCTCTGAACAGGACATCTGGGATAGGAGGCACTCAGGTGGGGACAGAGAAGGGGAGATGATAGGGAAACTTCAGGGTAGGTGGCAACCAGCAGAAGGCAAAAGACATCTATCTACCCTACCCTTTTGGCTGGCTGAGTCAAACTTTGGTGATCTCTGGCTTCTACCACAGCAATCCAGGTTTGGGATCCCCAGTATAAACCTTGACTTTCAGGACACTTTATCTGTAGACTTAGGCTATTTGATTTACTCTCCCCAAGATGCCTGTGAATTGGAGGGATCAGTATGCAGAGTCCTATGGCCTTGAAAGCTAGAGCTTCCAGCCAACTTGGTTGCGGTTATAGGAGGGGATGTTTCTCCTAGACCCTCACTCAGGTCTTCAAGAGACCACCATCTGTTCAGGTGGTAGATACAGGAAGGGGGCAATAACTACTTCTCCTGGCAGGTAAATCACTCTCCAAGCTTCACTACAGACTCCCGCCTTGATCGAGAGGTGAAGGATGCACTTCTTTGTGATGCCATGACCCTTGTTAACCTCCGGGGTTGTGACAAAAAAAAAGTGTTAGAGGAGGACAAGCGGAGAGTCAAGGAAAGGCTTTTGCAGAGCCACCAACAGCCACGAGAAGCCAGGTATGTCATCTCAGCCCACTCTGTTCTTCGCCACAACTACCGAACCTGTTTCCCTCAATATCTAATGTGAGTTTATTAGCGTAACTGGTCTTGCTTTTATACTTTCCTGAGAGTGAAAGTCCACTAGAAGAAGGCCACAAAGAGCGAATTAACTATTGAAAAACATTTTGGGGCTGGGGTTATGGCTCAGAAGTAGTGCTCACCTGGCATGTGCAAGGCCGTAGGTTCAATCCTCGGCACCACATAAAAATAAATAAGTAAAATAAAGGTTTTGTGTCCAACTACAACTAAAAAATAAATATTAAAAAAAAATTGGGGGGGCTAGGGTTGTGGCTCAGTGGTAGAGCACTTTCCTTGCACAAGTGAAGCACTGGGTTTGATCCTCAGCACCACATAAAAATAATTAAATAAAGATATTGTGTCCATCTACAACTAAAAAAAATTAAAAAAAAAAACAACAACATTATTTTGGGGGACTGGGGACATAGCTCCATTGTATAACACTTGCCTAGCATGCATGAGACCCTGGGTTTGATCCCCAGCCCTGTGAAAAAAATTTTTTTTGCATAGATAGTACATTACATATGTATAGATAATACATCACATAATATAGACAATATATTCAAAATTCAAATGATACAGTTCACAGTTTTTCCCCTGCCCATCTCATCCAGCTACCCAATTTTCCTCCCTGGAGTCAGTCAACATTCCTAGTGTAGTGTCATACTTTCACAAGCACTTAAAGCACAAATATATATGTATTTATAACAAAGTATGTTTACCCAGACAGTTGCATAACTTATACATACTCGGCACCCTACTTAGCAATGTATTTTAGAGCTATTTTCATATTAACATATAAGGTGCTTTAGGTGGTTTGATTAGTTTTTTATCCTCATTTTTAATAGTTTTTTTAATCCTCATTTTTTATTGGTGTATTATAATTGTATATTTTTAAAATTTTTTTGTAGTTATAATGGACAGAATGCCTTTATTTTATTTACTTTTATGTGGTGCTAAGCATCAAACCCAATGCCTCACACATACTAGGCAAGTGCTCTGCCACTGAGCTACAGCCACAGCCCTAATTATACATATATACATATATATATATTTGTAGTTGGACATAATACCTTTATTTTACTTATTTATTTTTATGTGGTGCTGAGGATCGAACCCAGTGCCTTGCATGTGCACTTGCATGTGGGATTTGTTGTTACATATTTATATTTGTACATGCACACAATATAATAATGTAATTTGACCAAAATCACTTCCCAGCTTTCCCCCTTCCCTCTTTACTTTCCACCCCTTGATCCCTGTCCTAATCTCCCTTTGGTTTAGGAGATCCACCCTCACTTTTGTTTTCCTTTTTTTCCTCTAGCTTATGCACATGAGAGAAAACATAGGACCTTCTGAATTTGACTTATTTTGCTTAACATGATTGTCTCTGGTTCCATCCGGTGTCCTGCAAATGCCATAATTTCATTTTTCTTTATGGCTGAATGAAACTCTATTGTGTATATATACTATATTTTCTTTATCCATTTATCCACTGATAAACACCTAGTCTGGTTCCATAGTTTGGCTATTGTGAACTATAAACATGGTTATGCATATGTATCACTGTAGTAAAGGTAAATACCAAGAAGTAGTATAGTAGGGTTCCATGCCTAGTCTTTTGAGGAGCCTCCATTCTGATTTCCATAGTAATTATACTAATTTACAGTCCCACAAACAGTATAGAAGTGTTCCTTTTTCTCCACATCCTTTCCAGCATTTATTATTATTTGTATTCTTTTGTTTTTTGGTACCATGGATTGAACCCAGGGGCACTTAATCACTGAGCCACATCCTTAGCCCTTTTTATAGTTTATTTAGAGACAGGGTCTCACCGAGTTGCTTAGGGCCTTGCTAAGTTGCTAAAGCTGGCTTTGAACTTACAATCCTCCTTCCTCAGCCTCCCTAGCCCCTGGGATTACTGGTATGTGCCGTGGCATCCAGTTCTTATTTGTATATGTATTTTTTTATTATTTGTATATATATATATACAAATATATATATATATATACATATACCAAATATATATATGTATATACATATATATATATACATATATATATATATATATATATTTGGTATATACATATATATTTGGTGCTGGAGATTGAACCCAGGGCCTTGTGCATGCGAGGTAAGCACTCTACCAACTGAGCTATATTCCCAGCCCTATTATTTGTATTATTGATGACTGCCATTCTGACTGGTGTGAGATACAATCTCACAGTAGTTTTGATTCGCATTTTCCTAATTGCTAATGATGTTGAGCTTTTTTCCATGTATTGTTGGCCATTTGTATTTTGTCTTTTTTTGAAAATTATAAATATTTATTTATTTTCTTTAAAAAATTTATTTATTGGGGCTAGGGTTGTGGCTCAGCAGTAGAGCACTAGCTTCTCACGTGTGAGACCCTGGGTTCGATCCTCAGCACCACATAAAAATAAGTTAAAAAAAATAAAAATATTGTGCCCATGTATAACTAAAAAAATTTTTTAAAAAATTATTTATTTTAATTTGTATTTTTTCTTTTGAGGAGTGTCTGTTTAGTTTATTTGCCCATTTATTAATTGGGTCATTTGATTTTTTGGTGTAAAGATTTTTGAGCTCTTTATATGCTCTAGATACTAATCATCTGTTGGAAGAGTAGCTAATAAAGATTTTCTCCCATTCTGTGTGTTTTCTCTTCATATCCTAATTGTATACTTTGCTGTGCTTTTTTTTTTTTTTCCTTCAGTACTGGAGATTGAACCTAAGGGACTGAACTATATTCCCAGCTCTTTTTATTTTTTTAAGACAGGGTCTCACTAAATTCCTGAGGCTGGCCTTAAACTTGTTATTTCCCTGTTTCAGCTTCCCACATAGCTGGGATTATAGGTATGCATCACCATGCCCAACTGCTGGTTTGTTTTTTTTAACACAGCTCCTCTAGAAACCAGTTCCTGAGGAACTTTCTAAAAATGAAACACAGAAAACAGTTTAGTTGTTAATAGGGAATTGTTTAAATCAGTATTGATCACCCATTGTTGTTTTCTGTATAAAATGGGTTACAAACATGGTGATTGGTTACTGATATTAAAAGTATATGTTAATGATACATAAAATTGAATTTGAGTAGGCTTTGGATATTCCTGTAGTAACATTGCTTTTCTCTACTGGTATTCCAATATGAGGGGTAGTTTGTATTTGATTCCTCATGATAGCCATAGGGCCTGGTGAATAACAGGTACTCAAATGTTTGTGTGATGAATGGGAGTGAAGGATAAATTAAACACCCTGAGTGTTCCCATGAGACTGAACAGGGGACCTGAGTGAATCATGTTCAATGGGGAAAAATGGCTGACAACTACTTTACCTCTGAGCTACATCCCGGACACTTTTATTTTTTATTATGAGACAGGGTCTCACTAAGTTGCTCAGTCTGGCCTTGAACTTGTGATCCTCCAGCCTCAGCCTCTCAAGTAGCTGGGATTACAGGCATGTGCTACTATGTCTGGCACTCATTTTAAAATATTGATATATGATCCCAATTTGGAAGGAAGGAAGGAAAAAAAGGAAGTGAGGGAGGAAAGGCAAACTAGGGAGTAGCAAAGACAGGATTCAAACTCAGGAGGTCCTGCCCTGGAGTCCTTGCTCTGTGCTAATTACTAATATGTTAATTTCATAGTAAGATCATGGGGAGTTTTAATTTTTTTGCTCTTCTAAGTTTTCTGTAGTGAACTTATATTAGTCTCATAATTAGACTCCGATAATTTGGAGTGCCAGTTTGTAAGTAAACCCCTCTAAACTTAGAACAAAAATCAAATTTCTGGAAGCAAAGCCTATTCTTCTGCCTACACACATGGTCATGCTGACCAGAGATGGCCTTGACAGCCTTCCCCACAGTCAAGGGCTTGGGAGGCCAAGCGGCCAGCAGGAGTTTCTCAAAGGCTTACCCAGCCTTCCTTTCTCAAATCTCTGACTCTGCTGAGCTGTTTCCACAGGCGAGAACAGATCGAGTCGTCCCATGCAGCCATGCAGGACCAGGAACGATATGAGGATTCCCACCTGGGGGGCTATCGGCGGATCTATCCTGGGCCTGACACAGGGAAGTATGAACCCTTCTTCAAGCACAATGGCTCCCTCTTCCAGGAGACTGCTGCCTCCAAAGCCAGAGAAGAGTGTGCCAGGTACTTTGCCACTTTGTCCTGCATCTCCTTTATGCAGATGGATGAGGGCAGATCTTGAACCTGAATTACTCCCCAGCAGTGGGGGAGGAAGCCAGACACTTGAGGAAAGAGAAATAGAGCTATATAGTCTGTCAGCCTCTTAGTGACTCTTCATTCTGCAGGTTCCTCCCTAATTCCTGTCCCAAGAACAGATCATGATTCCTGCTTATCCCGTTTTCCCTCTATTTCCTTTTCCCCAACACAATTCCTCCAGTATCTGAAGCTTTTATGTTTTATCAGGCAGCAACTAGAAGAGATCCGCCTGAAGCAGGAACAGCAGGAGAATTCAGGCACTAAGAGGCGAAAGGAAAACAAGGACCAGAACCAGGGTGAATCAGCTGGGGAGAAGAGCCGATCCAGGGCAGGGCCCCGGGGCCTTTTCACCTTCTTGGCTTACAGGAATCGGAAGCGGGAGAAAGAGGTGTCAAGGGTTGTGTGACTCTTATCTTTCTGCAGGAAAATGGGTTGGGACTACTAGAAAAGGGAATCTCTGCTGTCCTCTCCTCCCCTTGCACAAGAGAGATGAGTTCCTTATCAGTAAATTGAAACTGACTTTTTGGAACAGAAGGTGAGAGAATGGACAGCAAAGGGAACTCTACAGGAGGGTCAGGGCAGGGATGGAGGTAGAGTGGGCTAGAGTCCTACAGCCATCCTTGCCGATGGTTTGTGACTTGTCCTTGGAGATCCTGCATTTATCTCTCATGTACCTTGCAGCCCAAATCAATACACCTGGATATTATGCAACCTCAAGATATTGTGGAAGAGGAGGAGCTAGAGCGGATGAAGTCCCTGATACAAAGGGAGAATCTCATTCGAAGCCTGGGTATTGTAGAGCAGCTGACCCGCATGCTACACCCCAGTCACAGGGGCCAGAAAAAACTTCATGAGTATCAGGTGAGGGTCCTTATGAAGCCTTTGGCAAAAGAAGGGATAAAAAGGTTGTGATATCAGCAGATGGTGGTGTCACACCAAAAGATGCTTATGTGATGGTATCTGTCAATGGAGCTTGGGAAAGTTGAATAGGCTGGGCCTTGGGAGAGGGTCTGGTCTGTTGGTTCTTTTTGCATCTATTCCCCATCTCCCTTATTTTCAGAATTGACATCCAGCAAAGTGCAGGCCCCAACTTTCTCAATTACAAGAGACTTACTCTCTATATTCTTATCTCATAGTAGCCCAAAAGTTATGACTGACAAATAACAAGGTTGCCATCATGCTGTGGCTTCTGTGTAATCTCTCTAGCACTGACAGTGTCCTCTAACAGGGAATAAGTAAATAGTCTCAGGCCAGTAAAACAGTTGCTGGGTTAGTAACAAATCTATTGGGCCCTCTGTTTTTATTGAACCCTAAAAGAGTAACTGGTTAAATAGTGGCTACGGCCTAGAAGAGATTTTTTAAGTTACTTATTTCTTCCAACACTCCATCCAGCCTCACAAGAAATGTGGTAAGGGGCTGCTCTTCTCCTCTAGCCTAGATTTCACCAGGACGGGCTGGGCAGTCAAGAAGTGCAATCTGTGAGTCTGGTCCCATTGGTGCTCCTAAGAGGGGCTACCTCAGAGCAGGGCCAGCCTCATTTCCTGCAACCACTTCGGCCCCATGAATTGATCCCCAGGATCTTAGGGCCACTGCCAAGCACGAATGCTGCAATTCCACAACATTCCCGGTGCCATCTGCAGCCCAGGACCTTCAACTGGATAGGAGATCCAGCAGCCATCGGTCCCTGTTCATTGTCAATGAGGAAAGCTGGGAGGCACTATTTTTCCAGCGCTAGAGTCAGGGTCACTAGCCGTAAGTATACAAAACTAGCTTTGGTCACTTTGACCTGTGTAAATTTCTAATAGCAGATATTACAGCTGGGATGCTCCTAAACTATAACGATGCAGTGGTACAGGAACGGGGAGGTGGTGGACCCATTTATTTAACTTCTCCTATGTATTAGACTCTGATGATAATAATGGCAGAATTACAGTCCTAGCCCTCAACAAAGGTAACAAGAAAGTGGGCAAGTAAACGTACCAAGTATAATACAGTGTGGTAAAGATGCTGGAGGAAAGCATGGGATACCATTCCTCTGTGGTAGTAACTGGATTACAGCTGAGAAAGAGGTGGGAAAATCTTTTCTGTGAGTACCAACTCAGGAGGGGTCCATGTTTTCACTGCAGAAGGCCAAGCCAGCAGAAGGCTAGAAGCCATAAACCAAGCCCTGGCAGTATCAGTGCCATCCACTTTAACCCCAAAGCATGGCTATCTTCTGCAGACTGAAAGCACATTGCCTTCCATGGTAAAGTCTGAACACAGAACAGCCAAGGCCAGGGATCTCACCCTCTGCCCTGCCTCTGCACCTGTTCTGCAGCATTCTAGTACAATTCTTAACGTTAGCCAGCACAGGTAAAAGCAAGAAGGAAGTCAGCACTCAACCTTTCCTGGAGAACCTCCTGAGGTTCCAAAAGGAGCACTGGGCCTTCAATCTTTGCTAAATGAAAGTCGGCCACCAAGTTCCAGTTTGAAAACCCCAGTCAGGAATCCTGTTTGAAAAAGGAAAAACAAAGACACCAAGAATTCCTCAACACCCTAAGATTCTTTTGGGATTGGTAAAGACTAAAAGATGAAGAGCCAAGGCTGGCCAAATACTCATTTCCACTTGTCAAACCTGAAGCTGGGCTTACTGTTGAGGGATGTCTGAACCTTGGGAGCGGTCACCCCAGCGACGTGTCCCTTTTACCATTGGAGTCAAGTGCCCAAGGCACGGGTCTGTCGCCGTCAGCCGACTGCCAAGGGTGGCCGCCCTTCCTGCCATGGTGGCGGAGACCGGCAGGCCTGGGCAGCTTGAGACAGAGGGGAGGCTCTCGGTAATTGAATCCGTCTTTTTATTAAAGTTTATGTCGTTTTCCAGGAGTGTCCTGAACCTCATTTAGACCCTCGCGTTTCAAGACAGCCAAACAGTTACAGCTGGGAAGAAAGGGCCGCTAAACAGCTCAGGCCTAGACTGTCCTTACAGCCCTGGAAAGGGCAACGCCTCGCATCTGCCCTATTTCCCGCCCCGCCCCTTCCGCTTCCGGGACTGCTTCCGGTGCTGTAGGGTAGCGGGCTGCTGGAGGTTGGTGTACTTCGCCATGGCGGTTACCCTCAGCCTATTGCTGGGCAGCCGAGTCCGTACTGCTGTTGCTCGCTATGGGTTCGCGACCCGGGGGCTGGCGGGCTCAGGCCCTATGGGCCGTGAGCCGGACCCGGATTCCGACTGGGAGCCAGAGGAGAGGGAGTTGCAGGAGGTCGAGAGGTACTAGCTCCTTTCCCGGCCCTCAGCCTGAAGCTGGCCTTGGGCCTCGGCGCTTCAAGCCGCGCCCCCTTAGCGCCGGGCGTCCTCCAGCCGCCTCCACTGTGACTCTAGTTTCTTCTTACCTGTTGTTAGCGGCGTAGGGACAGATGTTCAGCTCCCTTGCGACCACAGGTTCCTTCGCTAGTGACGTATATTTCGTTACACTTTTAGATAGTTCAGCATGCTTACGGGCAGTTATTGTTGTAGGTGTTAGATTTTTGGGTCGGTGTACAGAGCGGCGTTAAGCTGGCAAACATGGCCCGGTGGCCTTTATTGACACAAAAGAGGGCTGGGCTGTTGGTGATTTAGCTCAAGACTTTTCAAACACCCATCTTGCTTCCACGCATGGCTTCTGCCATTGGTTCTCTCCCCCAGCACCCTGAAACGACAGAAAAAAGCAATTCGATTCCAGAAAATTCGGAGGCAAATGGAGGCGCCAGGTGCCCCGCCCAGAACTCTGACATGGGAAGCCATGGAGCAGATACGGTAAGACTCAGGGTACTTTGTTAGCATCCGCTATGATAAGAGGTGAAAGATTCTGGGGCTAAAACACAGGTTTGGCCATTTGAGTTTTGTTTTTGTATTTTGTCTTTCTGTTATAGGAAAATTTATACAGAAAATACAGTAACATGACGAATTTCCTTAATTTATCATCTAGATTTTATTTATTTATTTTATGGTATCGGGGATTGAACCCAGGGGCGCTTAAGCACTGAGCCACATCTCCTGCCCCCCTATATATATAGTTAATTAGTTGTAGGTGGACACAATTCTTTTATTTTTATGTGGTGCTGAGGATTGAGCCCAGTGCCTCACCCCCGCTAGACAAGCGCTCTACCGCTGAGCCACAACCCCAGCCCCCCTTTTCTATATTTTAATTAGAGACAGTGTGTTGCTGAGGCTAGCTTTCAATTTGCGATCCTCCTGTCGCAGTCTCCTGAGCCACCAGCTGCTGGGATTACAGGCAAGTGCTACACCTTACCCAGCTGTTATCTAGATTTAGCATATAACAGTTGGTTCGTTTTTGCTGAACATTTTAATATAATTTTGTGGTTATTAATATTTTCATATTTTTATTGGTGCATTACAATTATATATAACATTGGAATTTCTTATTAACATGTTTATACGTGCATGATATAAAATTATAATTGTCAATATTGCAGAAAATGTAAAATAACACATTGCAGCCCTAGGTTCAGAAACAGGACTCACAAGGTTATGTGAATTTTCTTTCCTGTTTGTTTTTTTGCTTTGCTGGGGATGGAACCCAGGACCTTGCACCTGCAAGTGCTCTACCACTGAGCTACATCCCCAGCCCAGTTATATGCATTTCCTGAAAAGAGGATCCATACCTTTAAAAATCTTAAAAGGTGCCTTCTCAAAAAATGTTAAATGTTTTTAAGTTGCTTTTCTTTTTAAATTTTTTCTCTTTTTTTTTTATCTTGAATAGGTAATGTGTTATGGATGGTTCAAAATTATAACTATAACCTAGTGTACACATTGAAAATGAATCGTCCAGTTGCCTATTGGTACTATTTTTAATAGGTTTTGTGTTTTTTTTCTCCAGATTTCCTTATGTAAATACAGCAAGTATGAGTACAAATTTTATTTTCACCACCTGAATCACAAAAAGTAGCATACTATAAATTCTGTTCTACATTTTCCTTTGTAACTTGATTTGTCCTATAGATCTTTCCATTTCAGAAGAGAGAGCTACTTGATTCTTGCCAGACGTATTTGTTGTATACATTCCCAGAAGTAGAGTTTACGGACCAAAAGATAAAGTATTTATATTTTGTTAATATTGCTGAATAGATCTATGTTGGTTATGTATGCTGAATGATTCCAGTTGGGAGTAAAAGATTTTGTAGAAACCGGTTAAGATTTTGTGAGTCCAGCTGGATGTAGGGCATATGTGACTCTGGAGTCTGAGGTAGGCAATTGCAAGTTTGAGACCAGCCTCAGCAACTCAGTGAGGCCCTAAGCAATTTTTCAAGACCGTATCTCAAAAAAAAAAAGGGGGGGTGCTGGGGATGTGGCTCAGTGGTTAAGTGCCCCTGGGTTCAATCCCCGGTTGCGGGGAAGGGGGAAGATTTTGTTAACCTGTACCATCTCCCTTCTAGGGTCCCATGAACTATATCTCCAGTCCTTTTTATTTTAATTCTGAGATTTTGAGACAGGGTCTTGCTAAGTTGCCTAGGCTGGTCCTAGAACTTAAGATCCTCCTGCCTCAACCTCCCAGCTTTTTTTCTTTTTTTCTCCTGGTGCTGGAAATTGAATCCAGGGACTTACACATGCTAGGCAATCAGTTCTCTATTATCTTAAATAACTTTTTCAAACCTTCCAGCTTTCTACCTATCAAATCCCCTTTTGTAGTCAATAAATGTCCTTCTAAAAATTTAAAACAGGCCATTAAATAAAAACCCTGTGAGCTTCCTAGTCTTGCTCTTTATCTTTTATTCTCATTTTGAGAGAAGTGATAGCCTATCACTTTGTTTAGGACAGTTCTCTTTGTGCTTTAGGTTGTCCCCATGTATTTTCTTAGGAACCTGTCTGTTTGTTTGTTTGTACTGGGGATTGAACCTAGAGGTGCTTTACCACTGAGCTACATCCCCAATGCTTTATTTTTTATTTTGAGACAGGGTTTTGCTAAATTGCTTTAGGGCCTAAGTTGCTGAGGCTGGCCTTGAACTTGCAATTCTCCTGCCTCAGCTTCTCAAGTCTGGCATGCACTACTTACCCAGTGCAACCTGTCATCTTAAAACCCTCCCTTGGGGTTGGGATTGTGGCTCAAGGGTAGAGCCCTTACCTAGCATGGTTGGGACCCAGGTTCGATCCTCAGCACCACATAAAAATAAAGGCATTGTGTTGTGTCCATCTACACTTAAAAAACAAAAAACAAAAAACAAACCCTCCCTTACCAGGTGTTGTGACACACCTGGATGGACTGGGGATGTGGCTCAGTGGTTAAGTACCCCTGAGTTCAATCCCTCAGTACTCCCCCATCAAAAAAAAACTATAAAGTAAAAACCCTACCTCTTCTTTTTGTTTCCAACTTGCTTCTACCCATATTAGTTGTTTTTTTTTTTTTGTTGTTGTTGTTGTTGTTGTTTTTTGTAGAGGGACAACATGCCTTTATTTTATTTAATTTTTACATGGTGCTGCGGATCAGACCCAGTGTCTCACACATGCTAGGCAAGTGCTCTGCCTCCTGAGGTACAGCCCCAGCCCCAGTTTTTTTTTTTTTGCATGTGATGTTTTAACCACTACAATAAGACTGTTCTCTTTAAATCCATCAGTGACTTCCTTATTATTAAATTCAGCTGACACTGTGTGATCTTTAGCCTCCTTAAAATTCCTGGAGCATCTGACATCATAAACTGAACCTGGGACACATAGGTTCTTCAAACTGAATGTATACAAAATAGAATTAATCACTTTTACCTACAACTTAATTCTGTTCTTTTCCCTATAACCCATCAACCACCCTAGCTTTTGTGTGTGTGTGTGTGTGTGTGTGTGTGTGTGTGGTGCTGGGGATTGAACCCAGGGCCTGTGTGTGCAGGGCAGGCACTCTACCACCTGAGTTATATCCCTTGCCCCCTAGCCTTGGCCTTGATACTACCATCCCCAGTATTTAGTTCCTTAACAAATTCTACATTTGACCTTCCTAAATATTCTTCAGCTCTCTTCTGTCCTGTGCACACCATGCCATTGTTTCTGTTCTGACTGCCTGAATTACAATAATAGCCTTTTGCTTAATCTTTCCACTTAGACCACCACCACCACCACCCTGCCCCTATGATGCTGAAGATTGAACCCAGGCCCTGGGTCGTGCTGAGCAAGTACACTCTGCCACTGAGTGCACCTCCAATCCCTCCACCTACACTTTTTTTAAAAAAATATTTATTTATGTATTTTTTTTAGTTGTAGGTGGACACATTATTTTGTTTTTACATGGTGCTGAGGATCGAACCCAGTGCCTCATGCTACATGGTGCTGAGAGGATTGAACCCAGTGCCTCATGCATGCTAGGTGAGCACTCTACCACTGAGCCACAACCCCAGCCCCACTTTTTTTTTTTTTTTTTTTTAATATTTAGTTTTTAGTTGTAGTTGGACATAATATCTTTCTTTGTTTTTATGTGGTGTTGGGGATCGAACCCAAGGCCAGTGCCCACCCCCCACCCTCCACTTTTGTCACTGAACAACAATCACTGGGTTGAGCTTCAGAATGAATACTTACTCATGGCATTCTACTGCTTAAAGTCCTTCTTTGGCTCCCTGTTGCCTTGGGATAAATTTCAGACTCCTAGGCGCCATGTGACCTTACTTCTGCTCTGTCTGTTCCCAGTGAAGGTGATGTGCTTCCTTGTATTTCAAATGTTGCTCACTCAACTATCAATGTCTTTGATCTGTCCTGCCCTCCTGTTTTTTGTAGTTGTAGATGGATAGAATGCCTTTATTTTGTTTTGTTTTTTTTTATTTTTTAGTTGTAATTGGACATAACTTGTTTGTTTGCTTATTTATTTATTTATGTATTTATGTATGTGGTGCTGAGGATCGAATCCAGCACCTTGCATGTGCTAGGTGAGCACTCTACCACTGAGCCACAACTCTAGCCCCTTATTTGTTTATTTTTATGTGGTTCTGAGAATCGAACCCAGTGCCTCACATATGCTAGGCAAGTGCTCTGCCACTGAGCTGCAGCCCCAGCCCCCCTTGCCCTCCTCTCTACTAGCTTATTACTGCTTTTCATCCTTTCTGATGGGCTCTAGCTTGGATTTCCTGGAACATTTCCTGGGCAGCCCTTTTGATTGTTCTCATTACATCATCTGCTGTCATTTAGCATAGTGCCATTGTGTGCTTTTGGGAGTGAAGTTCAGTCTTCCTTCACCCCAGGAAGTAACTTCCAATGGGAAGTGTTCAGTTGATGTGAAATGAAGTGACCGACTGAAAGTGGTCAGGTGTTACTGTGAGTATGCCAGTTACTTAATTGGCACAATAAAAGGACTGCATTTATAATTTTTTCAAAGTCCTTTTCTTTTTACTTATTTATGACTGGTATTATCAATTAGCTGTTCTGGTAGAAGACTTCTTCACAACTTGAAAACCTGCTCCTTTTTCCCATAGGTATTTACATAAGGAATTTGCTGAGTCCTGGTCAGTTCCCAGGTTGGCTGAAGGTTTTGATGTCAGCACCGATGTTATCCGAAGGGTTTTAAAAAGTAAATTTGTACCCACTTTGGAACAGAAACTGAAGCAGGATCAAAAAGTTCTTAAGAAAGCTGAGTTTGCCCACTCACTCCGGCAGCTCCAGGGCTCTAGAGATACCGTGAAGCCACTTGCTGCAGGCCACTCTGTATCAAACTCTTTTCTGATGCCAGGGGATGAAGCCTCATCTGAAGGTCAGCTTCACAGCACAGCTTTGACAGTTATAGAGTCAAAAACTCACAGTACAAATGCACTGAGACAAAAGGGAAGGAATAAAGGAATCCAGAGCTTGAAGAAGGAAACCTTTGAGCCTATCACTGCAGCCTTAGGTCATCAGAGAGAGCTGCAAAAATACTCCAATGATTGTGTAGGCACCAGAAGAACTGACAGTAATGGATTGCCAAGTGATGAGAAACTGGAAATGTTGAAGACAGGGGAGCTACGGAACCAGAACTTCAGCAGCAAAGTAGTGCAGAGGGGACGGGAGTTCTTTGACAGCAATGGGAACTTCCTGTACAGAATTTGAGTTGGGGCCCGGCTTGTGGAGATGCCATGTGAAACAGCTAGACTAATATATTTGGAGCTGCCAAGATTTCTGCATGTGGATATCTACTTTGAAAATAGGAGGAATTTGATGAGCCTGGAATATGGACAGAAAGAGCTGCTTGGTTATTCAAGCTTCTTGGATCACTGCTCCCAGTCTGACCTGTGTATCTTCAGTATTCTCCTTTTTGCTTAACTTCTGTATGTTGAAAATCAGTATTGTTTCTGTGATACTTGCAATAATATGTTTGGGAGGAAGTGAAATGTTTGCTTTCTGACCTCATTTCCTTCTTGATCATCGAACACTAACAGTTTTTGAGCTGCTTAGTAAATTGGTTCTTTTATTTTCCTTTGGTGCAAAAATAAAATGTAGCAGTTCGTGTTGCTTTGTGTCTCTGGAGTGACTCTTGGAGAGTGCTGGAATGGAAAATGCACTGGGAGATGAGGAATCCCCATCTGAGGGCTCTCTGCAAAGCACCCTGCTCGTTGATAGAATTTGGGGAGTGGGGTACCCAGGGACAATTTACCACTGAGCTACATCCCCAGATTCTATTTTGAGATAGTGTCTCACTAAGTCACTTAGGACCTCACTAAATTGCTGAGGCTGGCCTTGAACTTTTGATCCTTCTGTGTCAGCCTCCTGAGCCACTAGGATTATAGATGTGTGCCACTGCACCAGGCTTAGTGATGGATTTTGATAACCCCAAACTGTACATCTTTCAGTTGCTGGAGTTTTGAGAGAGATTGGGAGTGGGAATTTGACAAAAAAATGGAAAGCATGCAAAGGCTTAAGAGTCCCCAACATCAGCCAAGCAGGCTGTAATTCCAATACATCTGTACTCCCAACTCCTGGTGAGGCTGAGGTAGGGAAAAGCAAGTTTGAGACCAGCCTGGCGAGTTAACCTTGTCTCAAAAATAAGAAAAGAGGGCTTGGGTTGTGGCTAAGTGGTAGAGTACTTGCCTACCACATGTGAGGCACTGGTTTGATTTTCAGCACCACATAAAAATAAATAAATGTGTCCATCTACAACTAAAAATAATATATTTTAAAAGAAAAGGGTTTGGGATGTAGTTCAGAGTAAAGCTCTTGCCTAGCATGTGCAAGGCCCTGGGTCTAGTCCCCAATACTGAAGAATGAAGTCCCCATCGTAATTTATTTCTTTCTTTTTTTTTTAATATTTATTTTTTAGTTGGACACAACACCTTTGTTTTATTTATTTTTATGTGGTGCTGAGGATGGAACCCAGGGCCTCGCATGTGCTAGGCAAGTGCTTTACCGCTGAGCCACAATCCCAGCCCCCACCCATCGTAATTTCTAGCCACATTTTAAAGCTTACCTAGATTACATCTGATTTTTACAGCTGACAACAGATTTCTACAAAAGTGCCATGCAGTAGGCAAGAACAAATAGGCCTCTCTTACAAATAATGAAATGGATATGATGGCTGCTGTTAAGTGGTGGTGTTGGGACATGAACCCAGGTCACCATTAAGGTTTTCTGAAACAGGAATATTCTAGGATGTGGCATAGTTTCTACTAATTTACTGATTTTTTTTTTTTTTTTTTTGGTAATGGGGATTGAACACAGGAGTGCTTCACAATTGAGCTATATCTGCAAGCCTTTTTTTTTTTTTTTTTTTTACTTTCAAGACAAGATCATTAAATTGCCAAGACAAACTTGGAATCCTGCTTCAACCTCCCAAGTAGCTGAGATTACAAATGTGTGTCACTGTCCCTGGCCCATGAAAATCTTTTGTCTAGAGGCATTAGATGCTGTTTGAATATTGCAGTATGCATATCTTTAACACTAAGCCATGCTTACAGCAACCCTGCCCCCCCCCCCTTTGTTACCAGGGATTAAACCCAGGGGCACTTAACCACTGAACTTTTTTTTTTTTTTTTTTTTTGAGGCAGGGTCTTGCTAGGTTGCTTACAGCCTTGCTAAGTGGCTGAGGCTGACTTTGAACTTGTGATCCTCTTACTTCAACGTCCTGAGTCTCTGGGATTATAGGCATGAGCCACTGTGCCCAGGTAGCCTTTTTTATTTTTGAGACAGGTCTTTCTACACATAAGGCTTACAGTTTGCATCCCTTGCGAATCATCTCACCATTCATTTTCCCAGTGGACTGTGGAAATCTACAAGTTCAAACTTGGATGTGTTTTTCATATACTTTACCCCTGCACTCCCTTGCTCACTAATCTGAAATCTTTTTTCCCATTCTTGGAGCATGCCAGTTTAGGCTTTTGCTCTTATTCATTCTTTGCCCCCAGATTCATGTGACTGACTTCTTGTCATTTAAGTCTCAAATCAGTTGTCACTTTCTTAGAGGGGTCTCCTCTGATCATCCAATTTAAAGCAGGTTCTTTAATACTCATTATTACTACCTCATTTAATTTTCTTCAGTATCTGAAATCTGTTACCACTTATTTTCTCCCCAGCCTTTTACCTCATGAAGGTAAGAGACTTGTGTGTTCATTACTGTAGTCCCAGCCCCTAACATCTCAATATTGGTTGAGTGAATGAAGAAATGATTGAGGGACTACTGAACAGTCAATGTTTGATGGTCAAAAAGCCTTGCTTTTTACTGTTGCCAGTTTACCCAGGAGCTCAGCCAGGGTAGGCCTCCTGCTCTAGCCCGTCAGTGTGTCTCAGATCCTAACTCACTGGTTTTAGGAAACTCCAGTTTCTTTTTTTGAGGAAGGGGGGTAACTAAGGATTTAACCTAGGGGCAGTTAACTATTGAGCCACATTCTCAGCCCCTTTTTTAACAAATTTTGAGACAGGGTCTCTCTAAGTTGCTTAGGGCCTCAGCCTCTGTAGTCACTGAGATTACAGGCATGTGCCACCATGCCTGCTTTAGGAAATTCCAGTTTCAGTGTTTCAGGAAATAGTCTCTGAGCCCAAGCTGTGATGTGGGATGGGGTATAATTCCAGTTCTGTGTTTATTGGGCTGGGGTCATGCTCTCCACAGACCCCTGTTCTCAGTCCCTTTACATGACAAGAACATTAAGGCCACACCGGATGAGGTGGAACTGCACTGTGGAGCACAGGTTCGATGTGTCCAATAGAGAAAGCAACAGGTAACAAGGTTCTTCCTGAGCTAGAGAGAAAGCAGCTACTGGTAGGTGTTTTTGTTAGCTATTTTGCCACTGTGACTTAAAGACCTGACCAGCACAGTTGTAGAGAAGGAAAAGTTTATTTGGGGGCTTACAGTCTCAGAGGTCTCAATCTACAGACAGCAGGCTCCATATCTTCGGGCTCAAGATGAGACAGAACATCATGGCAGAAGAGCATGGCGGTGGAAAGCAGCTCACATGGTGATCAGGAAGCAGAGAGAATCTACTGGCCAGATACAAAATATATACCACAAAGCCATGTCCCCAATGCCCACCTCTTCCAGCCACCCCTTACCAACCTTCAGTTACCAAGCAGTTAATTAATCCCCCAGGGGATTAATTCACTGATAATGGGTTCAGACTCTCAACCCAATCATTTCTTCTCTGAACCTTCTTGCATTTTCTTGCACATGAGCTTTTGGGGGACATCTCACATCCAAACCATAGTAGTGAAATAGTTACCTCCCAGCAGCCTTTGGTCCAAGCTCAAGAGGATGGCAAACCACAACAAAAGAACTTTTTGTGTCTCAGTGGTAGAGTGCTTACCTGGAATGTACAAGGTCCTGGGTTCAATTCCCAGCACCTCAAAAACAAATAACTTGTCCCTTTACTGTAGAGGATATACACTTACCTGCTTTAAGGGACACTAGAAGTGAAATTCACCATCTTTGGGCAGCCTCCAGTTCAGTGCACAGCTGAGATTCAAGCTAATGGTAATGTGGGGGGAGGAAGCTCAGCATAAAATATTACATGAGCTCCTAAAGTCCAGTATGAGCACAGCACTCTTCTAACAACAACAACAAAAAAAGATGAAAATTAAAATGCAATGAACCACTGTTTACCGACCACTTTTTTTTTCTTTTGATGTGTGAGATTGAATCCAGGGTTTCATTCTACTAATGCACTACATCACCAGTTCTTAATAAATCGCCTAATATTCTGACAGTGGTGTCTCTCTTAGCAGTCCTACAATTAACTCAGGACCACTTTACCACTGTGTCCCATCCCTTTTTATTTTTCACTTTTGAGATTGGGTTGTTCTAAGTTGCTGAGGCCTCAAATTTGTGTTCCTCCTGCCTCAGCCTGAGTAGCTGGAATTACAGGCATGGGCCATCTTACCCAGCTGATGTGGTTTCTTTATTTTTCCTAAATGACTTTTGCAGTTAGTTTATTTGAATTAGTATCCAAACACGGTTCACACATTGTAACATTACATTTTATTGATAGGTCCCTTAAGTCCTGTATTTTATTTATTTATTTTTTAGTTGTAGTTGGACACAAAACTTTATTGATTTTTATGTGGTGCTGAGGATTGAACCCAGGGCCTCACACATGCTAGTGAGCCCTCTACCGCTGAGCCACAAACCCAACCCTAAGTCCTGTATTTTAAATATGGTTGCTTTGACCCCTATGTCTTAACATGTTCCTATTAATCTGTATGTTCTACAAAGAAGTCGATATTAAAGTTTGATCAGGGGCTGGGGATGTGGCTCAGGTGGTAGCGTGCTCGCCTGGCATGCGTACGGCCTGGGTTCGATCCTCAGCACCACATACAAACAAAGATGTTGTGTCCGCCAAGAACTAAAAAATAAATATTAAAAAAAAAATTCTCTCTCTCTCTCTCTCTCACTCACTCACTCTCTTTAAAAAAAAATAAAAATAAAAAATAAAGTTTGATCAGGTTCAAATTTTGGCAGGATGTGATGCTCTGTACTTTGTATGTATCTCACCAGGGAATGGTATGATGGAATGATTATTCAGAGTTTCAGATGGGTGCGGTGGCACCCACCTATAATCCCTCCCTACTTGGGAGGCTGAGACAGGAGGATCTCCAGCTAGGCAATTTACCAAGACCTATCAAAAAGGAAAAAAATAGGGGCTGGGATTGTGGCTCACTGGTAGAGCACTCGCCTAGCACATGTGAGGCCCTGGGTTTGATCTTCAGCACCACATAAAAATAAATAAGAGGATTGTGTCTAACTACAACTAAAAAATTTTAAAAAGAATAAGAAGAAATAACCTAAAACAAATAACAAAAAAACTGGGGATGTAGCTCAATGGTAGAGTGCCCCTAGGTTCAATATCTAGTACTCCCCAACCCACCTTTTTTTTTTTTTTTAAGAGCTTCAGGTATTGTCATCCTCATGTCTCTTTGTCATGTGTGTGTGTGCGTGTGTGTGTGTGTGTGTGTGTGTGTAATTTACTTCCTGCGATGCTGGGGATGGAACCCAGAGCCTTGTGCATGCTAGACAATTGGCTCTACCACTGGATTGGGTATAATTCCAGCCCCTTACGTCTCATAAACCTTTTTTTTTAAATAGATATAGATTATTACCATCATTACCCTTCATAGTTTCCTCTTATCTTCCCAGCCAACTCCTATTCTCAAAGGCAATCACTTTTCGGAAAACATTTTCACCATACATTAGTTTTTCCTGATTTAGAACCTCATGTAAATATCACCATAGAATTATACTCTTGTCTTTATCTGCTTTCACTTATTCAGTTGTTTTAAATATATGAATATATCAGTTTATGTATCCATTTTTCCAAAAAAGTCATTAACAAATCAAAGTCTGAAGGCCAGAGCTGGCAGAGGTTGGCTTCTATTGGACTGTAAAGCGTTCCTCTTTCTCTCCACGGATAGGCATTTCCACGCATTTAGCCTCCTGCAGCCCTATCTGGCTACTAAATTTGTCAAGTAGATTTGATTGACAGCTGAGACTCAAGTGATCCAATGCTCTGTGGACCAAGTTGGTTTAACTGAGCAGGTACCAGCACGGTGCACGCTGGAAACCCCTGTTACTTGGAAGGCTGAGGCAGGCGGATCGCAAATTCGAGGCCAGCCTGGGCAACTTAGTGAGAACATATCTCAAAATAAAAAATACTGGGGGATAGGCTGGGAATATAGCTCAGTTGGTAGAGTGAGTACCTCGCATGCACAAGGCCCTGCGTTCAATCCCCAACACCACACACACGAAAAAAGGCTGGGGATGTAGCCTTTTTAAACCTCAGGGTAAATTTAACTTGAGTTCAGTCTTCTGTACCAAAAAGAAAAGGAAATTGAAGACGTGCCCAACTCCTACTTGAATGAGCCAGAAGAATTGGCTGTATCCTTAAAAATTAGTTAAATATATCATTTCATCCTAGGAACACGTTCCTCTGGCCAGAAAATGAAACTAGAAAGTTGACTTGTCGCTTACGGTATCCACTTGTTCCTTCCCGGTCGCCGTTCCCTTCCCGGTATGCTAAGCGCTAGGAGAGCGAACAAGACTTCCGGGAGGTCTAGGAAGTGGCTTCTTTTTCTGGGCGGAGTTACTTTGGCGCCGGTGGAGTTTGTGCTGGTGTAGGGCGGAATCCTGCTGACAAACGGAGTAGGTTGGGAAGGAACGGATCGCTACACAGTGACTGCAGGTCTGAGGCGAGTCGCTCTCCAAGCCTGCGGCCGTCTGGCTGGGAGGCGGCTATTTATTTTTCTAGTGTGGCCGAGGGGCGAGGGCCCCTCCGGGTGTTCTGCTCTGGTACTACAGTCCCAGGCGAGCAGGATAGCCGTCCTGTGCTCACCCTGGGTGGCTGCCGGCCTTCTCAGAACGGAAGGCGCCCGCCTCCTTCTACACCGGGGCACAGGTGTCCGCTGCCATGGCTTTTCCACTTCGGCCGGACGCCCCTGAGCTTCCTGACTTTTCCATGCTCAAGAGGCTGGCTCGAGACCAACTCATCTATCTGCTTGAGCAGGTCAGTGCCCGTCACCCTCAGCATCCATGGTTTAGCACTCACATGACGCGTACTTCTTTGTTTGTTTCTGAGTCCGTTCGATCTTGTTGTTGTCCTTGAAGCTTCTGCGTCAGGTCCAAAATGAAGCAGACAGCAAAGAAAACCCAGGGTAGAATGAGCTGCTTGAGACCTGGCCAAAGAATTAATGGATTTTTTTTTTAACAGTTAAGGGAGATAACGCTTGTCCAGGCGTCACTGGGGATGGAAAGACATCTTTGTCATTAAAAGATCTTAAGCACCAGGAGACAGATAAAACACAAAGTACTACACGCAGGGTATCAGGTGGTAAACCAGTGATAGACTGCTTGAAGTTCAGAATAAGCACTCATCTAGGTTGGATGATCTAGGAGTTTTGCGGAGCTAGGGTGTAAAGAATAAACATTTTCTTTAGAGACTGAAGATTATTCTCCAGGCAGATGGACTGGTAGGAGCAAAGCTGAGGAACCAGGGAAGGGCAAAGCATGTCAAGAAAATGGAGATATCAGATGATAGACTGAACCCTTCCCCATCCTATTTGTGGCATGAACAATACTTGATAATGATTCTAATAGCAATGTGTGGGATGGGGTAAATGGGCAACAGAATGCCAGTTAAGTGACCATAGATCAGATTGAAGTAATAAAGACCCACATGAAGTTGGAGGCAATGGAATGAGGGAGAAATGATGGATTTGTAAGGCATGGTGAAAGAAGACTGAAAGAGTTACTGATGATTAGTTGTAAATAATGAGAAGTAAAGTTGACTGAGATTTTTAACCTGGATAATTAGGGAAATAATGCTGCTACTATAACTGTAACAAATTACTTGTTTAATTATTTAGTTATTTGGGTTTTTTTCCCCAAACTGTATCCAGCTTTATTAAAGATATTTTTCACAAACAATCATAGTACTTCAAGCAAGATATGGGCAGACAATAGTTAACAGTATATAACAGCTTTAAAATCCCCTTCTTGGTTGGACTACCAAAATCAGAAAACCACTGTAAAACCCAATGAAATCTTCATACGATGCTCTAATAGAGAAAGTTTAGAGTGAGGGTTGACATTCCACATTTAGCATGTTGTTTAACAACTTTTCATGAGCCAGCCCTGACTTTCAGGAAATAAAATGAAAATGGTAAAAATTATTGATTTGAAGATCCACAATGTAGAAAAGGAACTGCTGCTCTTCTGAGGGACACTGTTCTCAATGATGTCACTGGAAAGACCCTATTGCCCCATACACTGGTAAAACCAAGTGTTGGAATCAGGTCCAACAGATCTGAGTTTAGGGGAGTTAAGTCTATGCAGGTGGCAGAAAGGGAGAGAAGGACATAAAGATGAATTTAAGTTTTTCCATACCATGAGGCATTTGTGCTAAGGTGACTAAGTGTGCCAACATCAGGGAGTCCCTCCTCTTGGGACTCTCAAAACTAGCAGGGAAAGGTGTTTTCCCCCACAGCAATCCAGCTTTGGAGACATTCTGCTAGTGATGTTTGCTCCTTCCCTCCAAAACAATAATGAGGGGCTGGGGATGTGGCTCAAGTGGTAGCACGCTCGCCTGGCGTGCGTGCGGCCTGGGTTCGATCCTCAGCACCACGTACAAACAAAGATATTGTGTCCGCCGAAAAACTAAAAAAAATAAATAAATATTTAAAATTCTCTCTTTCTCTCTCACTCTCTCTTTAAAAAACAAAAACAAAAACAAAAAACCAATGATGAAGTGTTCTGTGTGCTAACAACATAGCTTTAACAACAACAACAAAAAAAAGTAGGGCTGGGATTGTGTCTCAGCGGTAGAGCGCTCGGCTGGCATTTGCAAGGCCCTGGGTTCGATTCTCAGTCCCACATGAAAATAAATAAACAAAATAAAGGTATTGTGTCCAACTACTTCTAAAAAATAAGTATTTTTTTTAAAAAAGTAAAAAAAAATCTGCATTTTATTAAATTTGATAAAAAATAGTATTTCAAACTGTACGGTACACAGTTATCAAAAATGCACACACTTCACTTGGCATAGTCAGCACCTTCAGCTTTCTGTGCCTTGTCTGTTTTGGTGTCTCCATTTTCTGCATTATTCCCATCCTTGGTGGTGTCAGCTTTTTCCTTTTTTCCCTTTGGGTACCTTCTCTCCCTTTGCAGAGGCCTTTATATGATTGGGCTCTGGCTTTGGAGAAGTAGGTTTAGCAGACAACCTTGCAGATCTTCTGTGACTTTATCTCCTTTAGCATCCCCTTCAGCCTTTCTCTTGGGCACGGTGGCAGCTGCAAAGGGACGAAGGCGCTGGATGCAAGGGTGCAGCGGTGTGAGGCCTTGATTGGTTCAGGGGTTGTTCTTGCCTTTTCTTCACACTGCTCTGTGTTTTTTTTTTTTTTTTTTTGGTTTGTTTGTTTATTTTTTTTGGTGGAGCTGGGGATTGAATCCAGGGCCTTGTGTATGTGAGGCAAGCACTCTACCAATTGAGCTATATCCCCCAGCCCTAGTTATTTGTTTAATATCTTGTTTGCCACTAGATTGGAAGGTCCTCAAGGACCTAGCTTAGAGTCAAGCATATAGCATGTGCTTAATGAATATTCATTTTATGAACATTGAATGGAAATTTAAAAACACATAGAAAGAAGAATGAGTTTGGTGGTCATAGCTGATTCTTTTAGATTTGGATGGGGTGAAGTTATGGAGTTTAGTGTGTAACATTTGGCAGATAGAAATGTAGAGCTGCATTTCCATCATGAGGGCTGGGAGACAGGAGAAAACCTCAAGACATCTGGGACTGAATTTTATTTTGCTTTTGTATGCCCCATAGTGCTAGCACAGTGATTTGCCCTCACTCATTGTTGAGTAAAAGATTCAACAAATGTCTGAGGAATTGAAAAGAGGTGCTAGTTAAAGCCATTAGTTCAGGTGAGATCAACATGAAAGAACAGAGACCAAGGATAGAGACTTGTAAGTGGGGGGAGTAGGTGAGGAAGAGGCGTCCACATAGTGACTCAACATGGCCAGAGTGGATCTCCATGAGCTAATGCCCTCCTCAAACTAACTTCTGATTCACTTCTTGTTAATGGGCACTGCTGTTTGGCTGGATCATAATCATCTTTGACTATCCTTCCCACTAACACTTAAGTGAATTGATTGCTGAATCCTATGGCTATTTCCTTGCACATAACCTTATAGTGCAGGGCTTTTCACTTGCTAGGCAAGCACTCTACCATTGAGCTATAATTCCAGCACTTCTTATTTTATCGTGACATAGGATCTTGCCAAATTGTCCAACTAGCCTCAATGTTGCAATCCTTCTGCCTAATCCTCCCAAGTAGCTGGGATTACAGACATGTGCCACCAAATCCAACTACATATTTTTTTAAAAATAATGATCATAAAATAGTTTGCATATTATAGAAAATGTGGAAGATAAAGAAAATATTAAAAAAAACACTTATAATCCCACCACCAGATATAAGCAGTGTTAATAATGCTAATTTCTTTCAGGTATATTAAAAACCTAAATTACATATTCCATGTAACTCTTAACGTATTTTTATTCATGGCACTACCAGCTTAAAGCAGGTCTTCATTCGTTGTCACATGCTTGGCTGCTTAGTCTGGCATTAACTTCCTAAAAGGACTCACCTGCTTTTCTCACATCTCAATCCATTTTATCCATAGTTACTAGATTCTTTTTTTTTTTTAAAGAGAGAGAGAGAATTTTTAATATTTATTATTTTTTAGTTTTCGGCTGACACAACATCTTTGTTTGTATGTGGTGCTGAGGATCGAACCCGGGCCGCACGCATGCCAGGCAAGCTCACTACCGCTTGAGCCACATCCCCAGCCCAGTTACTAGATTCTTATGATTAAAATTTCTAACCAATTGGGATGTTTCAGTGCAAAAAAGTTTCCTGTTATCACTGATCCATAAAGGATTGTGTCATAACCTGCTATTGGAAGCCCTTTATGTTCCATTCTAGGCAACTGTTTCAGTATTATTCCTTACCATTATCCTACATAATGGTTTCTGAAGCTTGGTTCTGTTGACATTCTGGGCTGGATAATTCTGTGTTGTAGGACTTGTCCTATTCATTGTAGAATGCTTAGCAGCACCTCTGTCCTTACCTGTATGATGCCAATAACACCCTCTACTTGAAGGCAGGCAACCAAAACTGTCTCTGGACATTGTCAAATGTCTCTTTGGTGGGGCAGAATCATCCCTGATTGAGAACTTATACCTTCCATGTACCTTATCAGCCCAATTGAATTGTTTTGTTCTTCCCTTAACATTCAGTTTATTCTCTGTTCCTGGCCTTTGCTTGATTGCCTTTTTTTGTTGTTGTTTGCTTACTTTTTGTTTTTTGGTACTGGGGATAGGACCCAGGGGTGCTTTACCACTGAGCCACATCCCCAGCATTTTTAATTTTTCATTTTGAGACAAGGTCTCACTAAGTTGCTGAGGCAGGCCTTGAACTTGCAATCCTTCTGCCTCAGGCTCCCAAGTTGCTGGGATTATAGGTGTGCACCATTGCACCTGGCTGGATTGCCCTCTTAAGACAACTTCCAAACCATTTGTCAAGACCTAGTTGAGAGGAAACTTCCAGTGACTTCCTCCTCCCTGTCACTGACCGAGACTTCTCCTTCCTCTTCATCAGGAGTACAGGAGTCAGATGACAGAAATTGTGGGTGGGTGAGTGAGAAGGTGACAGGGCAAACACTGTCCTCATTTTCTAAGTTCTGTGTTGAACATGTGTTATTTTTGTAATTAGAAGAAAAATTCTACTTGAAAAGGTAGTTAGTAATTAGTTGAGGGGATTGCAGAAAGCAGGGTGGAGTTTTGTTGTATTTGGCTTTGTTCAGCAGGACACCAACCTTGTTGGGAGACAGAGTGGAGGAGGCAATGATGCAGATCAAAACCAATAGGCAGCAGGATGGTTGAGTGACAAGGAGTTGATCTGAGAAAGAAAATGGAATATCTTTCCAGAATAGTTGAATATACAGAAAAATGTTATCTGGATATAAATAATAAATGAGATGTTTAGCTAGATGATACCTACTGCCCTTCCAACTCAGAGACCATCTGTGTTTCTGTTAAATGGGTGGCTGGATGAATTCTCAACTGAAGGGGCTTGTGTGACCTATGAGTAACCTGACATACTATGTTTCCTTCAGCTTCCTGGAAAAAAGGATTTGTTCATTGAGGCAGATCTTATGAGCCCTTTGGATCGAATTGCCAATGTGTCCATACTGAAGGTACTGTCCCTTTTCCAAGGAGGCTCTTTCCCCTCTTTGCTGTCTTTCCTCTTTAAGCAGTTTTTCTTTCGATGAACAATACAAATTCGTGAAGAGTGACTGCTCTTACAGGGTGAAGATAGGGTAAGCTGATTTGGGGTAGTTGAATTAGGCTGACACAAGAATTGATATGTTGGTTGTATTGTTTTATATGTTCTATTGTTTTTTCTATTGACAGTTTGAGGAAGGTTTAGGGGGACAGTTGTCAGGGGAGTATTTTGATTCCAAGAATTAACATAAATAGGAAGCCCTTAATAAATCCCCTGTCTTTGTATCATGCTTTGTGCTTTTCAAGCACTTTTACGTTCATTGTCTTGTTGGATTCTTCCTGTAGCAACATGAAGTAGACAAGCTGTACAAGGTGGAGAACAAGCCAGCTCTCAGCTCCAACGAACAGTGAGTGTCTGCAAGTGTGTCTCACTTCCAAGTTAGGAGATCCCACCATACACAGTGGTACATGCCTATAATCCCAATGACTCTGGAGGCTGAGGCAGGAGTATTACAAGCTGGAGACCAGTGTTAGCAACTTAATAAGACCCTGTCTCAAAATAAAAAAAGGATTGAGGATATTGTTAGCACATTTGCCTTTGACCTGTCCTTGCCCTTGGTCTGGCACCATGGTATCTATGATATGATTCACTTTCCTGAATTTTTATAATTTCATGCTTAGATTATTGTTTAGCCTCTTAATGAGTCTTCCTCTCAGTTTCTCCCACTCTTGTTCTTTTCCCTCTCTAATACATATCACTATTTTATAACTAGATTGATTCCTCTCCCAAAAATAATTTTTAAAAAAGTTTTTTAGTTGTAGATGGACACAACACCTTTATTTATTTATTTTATGTGGTGCTAGGGATCAAACCCAGTGCCTTATGCATGCTAGGCAAGCACTCTACCACTGAGCCTCAATCTCAGCACTTCCCCAAAATAATTTTTGATAAGGTTCTCTTTCAAGAACCTTCCAGGCTTCCCATTATTTACATTATAGTCCAAATTGTACATCACAGATTCTAAGGCTGTCATTAGTGTGGACTTACATGCTGTCTGTCCAGCCTTTTTTCTCATGTGTCCCCTTTAAGCTTCTGTTGACACATGCTTCCACACACACCATGCTCTCTGCATGTGCCTTCATCTTTTTAACCACTCCATTTGTTTGCCTGAAAAATTTTTTTTCTTTCTTTCTTTTTTTTCTTCCTTTTTTAGTACTGGATAACAAATCCAGGGGCACTCAGCCACTGAGCGACATCCAATGCTCTTTTTAAAAATTTTTTATTTTGAGACATCCTGGTAAATTTCTCAGATTGACCTGGAACTTGCAATCCTCCTGCCTCCGCCTTCCGAGTAGCTGAAGTTATAGATTTGCATCATTGTGTCCGGCTTACTCAGATTCTTCTAAACCGCTGTCACCAACTTCATGATTTATCTTCACCATTTTTTTTTTCATCTTTTCTCTTATAGATTGTGCTTCTTGGTCAGACCTCGCATCAAGAATATGCGCTATATTGCCAGTGAGTGTGCCATGGTACTATGTGTAACCAAGACGTAGGAAAGAGTGGGCAAGATTGAAGGGCCCGTCAGTGAGGACCCTTTAATAGGAAGAGACTCTTATGAGTTGGCCCCTGCACTTGTAGAGAATATCTCCTTCCTTGTTTTTGGTCTAATACATGGCCCATGGCTTTCTGGGCTGGATTCTTTTTCTTTGTAGATCTTGTCAATGCTGACAAATTGGCTGGCCGAACTCGAAAATACAAAGTGATCTTCAGCCCTCAGAAGGTGAGTGTGGATCCTAGTAAGAGTGGGATGTGATATCAAACAAGGTGACAACTGGGTGAGTAAGGGGCTAGTGTTGCTGTCTCCCCCAAATCAGATTATGTGTGATTGAACCAATTAACTGCCACTGTCCTGAATGTATCCATGATTGTTAGGCAGAGGGTCTATCATCAAACTGCCCCAAATAGAATATTGTGGAGTTGTGAGAGGTGGCCTCTATTATATAGATTTCTTTAAATGAAAATCTTTACATTTTTGAAATAGAACCTGCTATATATCTCTGCTAACAGAATCCTGTATCATAATGTTTCTAATGTTATGGCTTCTCTCTATTATGGTTCAAAATATTGTGACCTTCTTCTTTTTTTTTTTTTTTTTTTTTTTTTTAATTTATTTATTTTTAGTTCTCGGCGGACACAACATCTTTGTTGGTATGTGGTGCTGAGTATTGAACCCGGGCCGCACGCATGCCAGGCGAGCGCACTACCGCTTGAGCCACATCCCCAGCCCTTGTGACCTTCTTCTTATATCCCTTTAATGATAACTATAATAAATCACCAATCCCCCCACTCCCATATTTTGATCCAACCCAAGGTATGTGGCCTTGGTTACTAGAACCACACCACCATTTTTTTGGCAGTGCTGTGGATTGAACCCAGGGCCTCACATGCTAGGCAGGCACTGAGCTAATCCATCCCTTTATATTTTTATATTTTTATTTTGAGACAGGGCTTTGCCCAGTTTCTTGTGATCATCCTGCCTTGGCCTTCTGAGTAGGTGGTATTACAGTTGTACAGGTATACACCACCATGTCCAGCTCACCTTTTTTTTGATACTGAGGACTGAATGCAGCAGCAGTTGACTCTGAGCTATACCCCAGTCTTGTTAATTGCTGAGGCTTGCCATGAACTTTCTATCCTCCTGTCTCCTAAATTGCTGGGATTGCAGGCATGTTCCACTGCACTCAGGTTCCCTTTTCTTTAAAAAAAAAAAATTTATAATAATTGTACATATTAACCAGGTGCACTGGTGCATGCTGGCAGTCCCAGCTATTAGCTGATGCAAGAAAATCACTTGAGCCCAGGAGTTTGAAGTCAGCTTGAGCAATATAGTGAGATTCTGTCTCAAAATAAAACAACAGCAACAGTGATAGCAAGAAAGAAACAATTGTACACTGGAGGGAGAAAGCCTTCTCTTACATAGGGAAGGACCCTAAAATACCATCTTATTTTACCCTAACTTTGAGCAACTGAGAGAACCTTGCCCCATGCTCACATGGTGAGTTACTATAGCCAAACTGGTTTCCTTCAATAATTGTAGTGTTTGAAGGTCCATCATAATATTTCTATTTCTTGATTCCATTGAATTCCCATCCCACTGCATATCAGCTAGGTGCCTTGTAGATGTGTCCCCAATCTCAGTGTTTGGCAGGAATGATATTCCAGGCCTTTACATTCTCAGCTATAGGCCTAAGAAGCTCTACCAAGTAGTGCATGCCACAGTTAGAGCAGTTTGAAACTCAAGTTGAAAGGACAGGGATTTATTTCTTCTTAGTTTTTCTAAGAGAGTTCTAGAGAAAATTGAAGCTATAGCTAAGACTGAAGATTGTGAAGCCAGGCTATCTGGGTGTGAATCTTTATTTTAGCATTTGTTACCTGCATGATCTTGGATAAGGTACTTAACTCCTTTGTGTTCAGTTTCTTTATCTTTCAAATGGAATTGATAATGTTACCCCATCTCCCACCCCCATTAACCAAGGGGCACTTTACCACTGAGCCACATCCTCAGCCCTTTTTATTTTTTATTTTGAGACAGGATCTTGCTAAGTTGCTTAGGACCTTGCTAAATTGCTGAGGCTGGCCTCAAACTTGGAATCTTCCCACCTCAGCCTTCTGACTTCATGGGATTACTATGTGATAGTGCACACCTGACTAGTATTTTTTTTAATTTAAGTGAGATGATTTTCAGAAAATAAATGAAAAATCCTGTGGAATTATATTTCTGTATGGTTTTCTCATCACATAAGAGGAATAAGAAGAAAGAGCCAATGATGTTCCTTGAAGGTTCTTTGAAAATGGATCGAGCAGTCTGACAAATAATTAGTCTGCCTATGAATACAAATGTAAAATGTATATAGTAACACTATTATCAGGGCAGGAAATTATTAAATAAGATGACAACCTATAAGAATCATAAGTTTGAGCTGGGATTGTGGCTCAGCGGTAGAGCGCTCGCCTAGTACGGGTGCGACCCAGGTTTGATTCTCAGCACCACATAAAAATAAAGGCATTGTATTGTCTATCTTCAAAAAAAAAAAAAAAAAAAAAAAAAAGATTCATTTTCTCTCTCTCTCTTTAAAAAAAAAAAAAGAATCATAGGTTAATTTTGAATGTTATTAAAGGAGCCATGGTCAATAATTTTTAGTGTTTGGGGTCTTATAAAACTCCCTCCACTTTTTTTTCTCCAAATTATACTTTTATTTGTATTAACATGGAATAGAACAAGTTGGTAATAGTTTCAAATAAGTCTTCAAGCAGGCATGAAGCATATACCTGTAATTCAAGAGGCTGAGATAGGAGGATTGCAGATTTGAGGCTAGACTTCGCACTTAGTTCTTGCCTATGTCCTGTGCAGGTGAGGGAAAGGGTTCCTCTCTGAGGGATGGGCTGGCTGAGAAATAAAAGCTAGAAAAGTAGTACTATGAAATAACCACAGGACACAGAAATATAGGTTCAGAATGGGGGCAGTGATGGGCCATGACAAGACGGGTATAGCTTCTGACAAAAAACAGAGCCCATTGCCCGGTTTATTTATATCTGAACAGATCAAAGAGATTCGATAGAAAGTTCTTCGCCAGGGCTGGTGTTTTAGCTCAGTGGTAGAGTGCATGCCTTGCATGTGTGAGTCACTGGGTTCGATCCTCAGCAATACATAAAAATAAATAAATTAAATAAAGGTATTGTGTCCATCTGCAACTAAAAAAAAAAAATTAAAAGAAAAAATAAAGAAAGTTCTTTGCCAAAAACAGGATAGAGGTCGGGCAGAAAGGCTTTGCTCAGTTCCTAATGGGTCATGTCCATCTCTGGTGCTGTATGGGACCTCTTGGCAGAGCTGAGGGGGAGTTCACATGTAATGGGGTGGTCTTAATGGTGGGATTGCTGCTATAAGTTCCCAATTACCAAATCTACTCCCTCAGTGGCTTCAATACTGGAAATCCTCATGCATTTTATGGGTGGCTTCCCGCACTTAGTGAAATCCTGTCTCAAAAATAAAATAAAAAGTACTGGGAGTGTCATTGATAAAGCACCCTTGGGTTCAATCCCTAGTATTATCACTAATTTAAAAAAAAAGTCTCCAAATTACACAGAAAAACAAAATTGGTATTTTTGTGAATATTCTTCATTTAACACCCTATCAAAACTTTTAGGCCAGACTCGGTGGCACATGCCTGTAATCCCAGTGGCTGGGGAGGCTGAGGCAGGAGGATTGCGAGTTCAAAGCTAGCCTAAGCAACTTAGGCCTTAAGCAACTCAGTGAGACCCTGTCTCTAAATAAAATACAAAAAAGGCCTGAGGATGTGGTTCAGTGGTTAAGTGTCCCTGAGTTCAATCCTTGGTACAATAAAAAAAAAAATGTTTTATATCTCTTCCTCAGTAGTTGTTAGGAAATGGGGCATCTCTGTCTCTTTTTGAGTCTGCCTTTGTTAGTGACTAGGATAGGCAGATTTCAGACTGGGCTCTGAAGTTCAGTAGTTAGCACTAAAAGTTAAAAGCAAGACTGGATTTAGCTTACTGGCAGAAATGAGTTAGAGATGAATAAGGTTCTTTTGTGTAACAGTGAAATAAGGAGCACGTAGCATGAATCTTTACCTCATGGAGCTATCATGAGGTTGAAGACAGAAGGTCCTTGTAAAATACAAAGAACAAGACCTAGTACATGTTAAGTGCTTAATCTCAATCAGCTATTATTAGTGTCATCATCGTCTGATGTGAATACCCTCTGTATTCTTCCCTTTTATCTCCAAGTTTTTACCCTTTACCCACTTGTCTCAAAGGAGGAAGAGACGCTGGCCCTTTCTGAGATCAGCTGAGCTGTTTCAGCTAAGTGCTGGCCACATCCATGCCTGCCTTTTCCATTATCTTACTTCATCAGCTAGATTCTCTTCTGTCTTCCCTGTCAACCCTTTTTCTGCTGTCAGGCTTCTGCTTCTTCACCTCCATCTTTACCCACTTGTCTTAGTGGTCTCTCTCTCTCTCTCTCTCTCTCTCTCTCTCTCTCTCGTACTAGGATTTGAATCCAGGAAAGCTTTACCACTGAGCTACAGCCCCAACTTTTTTCATTTTTTTTAATTTTGAGACAGCAAAGCTAAGTTGTGATCCTCCTGTCTCAGCCTCCCGAGTCATTGGGGTTACAGGTGTGTGCCACTGTATCCAGCAGTGGTGTCTCTTTGATGCTCATCCTCCGGCATTTGACACCCTATCTTCCTTGAAGTGTTAGCTGTCCTGCTGTTAGTGGTGCTCCTGCCAAAATGGTTTTTTTTGTTGTCTGTTTGTTTGTTTTTGTTTTTTGGTAGTACTGGGGTTTTCCTTGTACACAAGAGGCAAGTGCTCTATCACTGAGCTTTTTGAATTTTTATTTTGAGATAGGTTCTCGCTGAGTTGGCAAGGCTGACCTGGGATTTGTGATCCTCCTGCCTCAGCCTCCTGAGAAAGTCAGGAGCCAGATTTCATTAGAACGCCAGATTCCTGAGCTGGAATTATAGGTGTGCACCACTGTGCCAGGCATCAGCACCTCCATGATTTTTAGAGCAATTTTATGCCAATATTCCCAGCTCTGTCTGTACAGCTCACCCCTCAAATACAACTGAAATACCTTCTGGCATACACATGGCTCAGAGTTTAATCCTCAGTATCTCTCTCTCTCTCTCTCTCTCTCTCTCACACACACACACACACACACACACACACATAAATCTACCTACCTACACATATAAATCTACCTACCTACATACCTATGAACTCTTGGGGGTATAATCAGTCTCTCCCCAAACTGTAGCAGTATTTATAGAGGAACTCCAGAGAAATGGAAGCAACAGGGCTGGGGATGTGGCTCAAGCGGTAGCGCGCTCGCCTGGCATGCGTGCGGCCCGGGTTCGATCCTCAGCACCACATACAAAGAAAGATGTTGTGTCCACCGAAAACTAAAAAAGATAAATAAATATTAAAATTCAAAAAAAAAGAAATGGAAGGAACAGAAGAAGATTGTTACTAATTAATGTCCTTTTTTCTTTCAGTTTTATGCATGTGAGATGGTGCTTGAGGAAGAGGGAATCTATGGAGGTGAGAGGAGATGAATGTGAGTGGAAGGGGAGAGAGAACATGTAGAAGAAAGAAATCAGATTGTCATCCCTCTCCCAGCTGCTCCTTCTACTGGTGTTATTCCTGTTGGTTTAGTGGGAGGAGAGGCTCCGAGGATGGGAGTGGGAATAGGACCCCAACCAAGAACACTAGAGGCATGCCAATGCTTAGAGTTGGAAATGACCAGTTGCTGTATTCTCATCTTCCAAGACCTCCACCTCTGTGTAGTCTTCATTTCATTCTTTATGCAGCCTAGACCTGACCACACGCCTTCCTGCTGAAAATCCTGCAGTGTTCATTGAAAGCAAGATTCCTCAACAGTGTCTCCTCTGCTCTTATAGTAAACCTCTTCCTGTCCCTTCAGCTGCATCATGTGCTGCTCTTTTTCCCTGTCTTCTTTCCAGCCATGGGGACTTTACAAATGCTTTTCTTGTTGCCTAGTCTCTTCTCCACCCTTCAAATTTTTGCCCACACAGATTTGTTTGTTTGTTTGTTTGTTTGAGACAGGGTTTCACTGAGTTGCCCAGGCTGGCCTTGAACTTGCAATCTTCCTGCCTTAGCCTCCTGAGTAGTGCCTACACAAATCTTACTCATTAAGTTTGAATATTGCCAATTCGAGGCCAGCCTCAGCAATTTAGTGAGAGCCTGCTTCAAAAAAAAAAAAAAAAAGAAAAGAAAAAAGAAACACAAAAAGGGCTTGGGATGTGGCTCCATGGTTAAACACCCCTGGGTTCAATCCCCAGTACCAAAAAAAAAAAAAAAAAAAAAGGTTTATAAAATTCTAAGCTTGATTGTCACTTTTTTTTTTTTTTTTTAAATCAGGATTGAACCCAGGGGCACTTTTATCACTGAGCTACATTCCCAGCTCTTTTAATTTTTAATTTTGAGACTGGGTCTTGCTAGGTTGCTAAGGACCTCATTAAGTTCTCAGGGCTGGTCTCAACTTGAAATCCTTCTGCCTCTGCCTCTCCAATTACTGGGGTTATAGCATGCACCTCTGTGCCTGGGTCTGATTGTCACTTTTATTTTGTAGGCAAGTCTTTTATTTACCCTTAGTTGTATTTAGATCCCTGAAATATTTATGGTCAAGGCTTGTTGTTTTGTGCTGGAAATTAAACCCAGAGCTTCTTGTATACTGATATGCACTGTACTGCTGAGCTACCCCTAACTCAAGGCTTGGGGTTTTATATCTCTGGAGCACAAAAATGTGTAATTAAGTAGCTTGTGTCATAGTTTGTTTGCTGCATTTCTCCTCAACCACATCGTAAACCACATCATAAGCTCTAGAAGACTGGGAGTGGGTCCATTTTGCTTCTGCTCTGTTTGGTGCTTAGCATTTTCCTATACATATGTGGATTTCAGTAAATAACTTGCTGAATAGTGAATAAGTGAATCAGTGTTTTCTTAGCACTTGTGGTCAGCTCTCTAATAAAAGTCCACCACTTACAGTACTGTACTGTAGGCTGCAGTGTACATGTCTCCTCTCATTACCAGTCTGTGGGCTCTTTAAAAGGGAGGAACTATTTCTTATTTTGTGATTCTCTAGTGCTACGTGTAGTCCTGGCATGTGGCAGGCACTCAAATATTTGTTGCATGACTATGATAAATCATCATTTTAACATGGAGCTAAGTACCTTTTGCAGAAAGGCTGATGTCCTCTGTCCTCATAGATGTAAGCTGCGATGAATGGGCCTTCTCTTTGCTGCCTCTCGATGTGGATCTGCTGAGCATGGAACTGCCAGAATTTTTCAGGGACTATTTCCTGGTAAATGCCAGGCCCTTGATTCTTGGCACCAAGGAATTGGGACAAATATTGGGTCCAGTGAGCTAGAAATGGTGATTTAACCTTTGTCTAACTCATTATTTATCAAAGTGATAGTGATTTGGTGATTCATGGCTATCTATAGGTTGATCTGGATGGGACTTCCTTTGGGGTAAATAAAATGAACTCTTCCAAGCATTATCCAGACCCTGCCATCCTGCTTGGGGGCTTCTAGGATTAGCAGTTCTAAAGATGGGCCTGTTAGGTTGATTTGTGGTCCATATGAACCCTGTAGGAAGGAGATCAGCGTTGGACCAACACTGTGGCTCAGGCGTTGCACCTTCTCAGCACTCTCTATGGATCTTTTCCAAACTGCTATGGAGTTGGCAGATGTGCCAGGGTAAGAGCCCTAGTAGTACTTTTTCCCTATAGTCCCTTTTTTCCCTTGTTCTCTATCCTGTACACAAAAAGGATTATCCATAGGCATGTGTGATATGAGGTATATTCTTACCTTGTTTTTATGTTCCAGAATCGTTTCCCAGAGAGGAGAATTTGTGTGGCTAACTGAAAGGCAAAAGGCAGGGCCTGAGTGTTGTATTCCTAAATCTTTTTTTGAATCTCAAGGGCAGGTTGACATTTGTTCTTCATTGGTATGGGGAGGGGCAGGGAAGGATAGGAACAGCTGAGAGTAGAATAGGTTCACATTGTTCATTATTAGCTCCTTTCTTGGGTGCAAGATGAAGTATCACATAGAAGAGGTTGGCTTTTATAGGTTTAGGGCTACAAAACTTAATCAAAAAAATTGCAGTTCAGGGATAGTGCTGTAGCTCAGTGGTAGAGATTTTTTTGTAGGTAGGGATTTAAACACAAAATTGAGAATGTCTTGGTTTCTCACAGATGTCATATGAACTATGGAGGAAACTGGAGGAAGAGGAGGATAGTGAAACCAAAGGCCGAAGACCAGAAATTGGTCATATCTTTCTCCTGGACAGAGGTAAATTATGCTCAGCACTTCTTGTATCTTTGGCCCCTTTAAGACACAGTAATAGGGGCTGGGGATGTGGCTCAAGTGGTAGCACGCTCGCCTGGCATGTGTGCGGCCCGGGTTCGATCCTCAGCACTACATACAAACAAAGATGTTGTGTCCACCGAAAACTAAAAAATAAATATTAAAAATTCTCTTAAAAAAAAAAAAAGACACAGTAATATATGGAAACTGTGGTGACAGAGTTAGGATCCTAAAGTTAGGACTGTGAATTCCTATGTTGAATTCCACTTGGGCCCTATGGTACTTGAGCTAATATTGAGCTGGATCAGAGGGGCCTACATGGTCAGGATCTTGGTTTCAGACATGGACTTTGTGACGGCACTTTGCTCCCAAGTGGTTTATGAGGGCCTGGTAGACGACACCTTCCGCATCAAATGTGGTAAGTGCCATCCATAGTCACAGTGGAAGTGGTCATCAACCTGTGGTGCCTCCCATAATGGGGTAGGGATTATGGGAGAGACCTTCGTTCTGTGTGCATTGCTGGGGTATCTTCACCAGCAGTTCAGGAAAGGGTAAGAGAAGGCCTCAGTGGGGATCCTAATAGCCCTTCCTTCTGTTCTCAAAGGAAGTGTGGACTTTGGCCCAGAAGTTACATCCTCTGACAAAAGCCTGAAGGTGCTACTCAATGCTGAGGACAAGGTGAGGGTGTGGGTACTAATAGTGGATTTACTTAGGGCCACTGCTTACACAAGGCTCAGGACTACCTCTGAGCCTTAGGTGGCTAAGGTCACAAGAGAGAGGGTTTCCCATTAGCTAAGACGCATACTCAGAGCACAGGGTAGGTACTTGGCATCTACTTACTGATTCCAGCTCAGTAATTCTGAGCGTTCTTCCTGAACTATCATTTTCTTTCTTTCTTTTTTTTTAAGTATTTATTTTTTAGTTTTAGGTGGACACAATATCTTTATTTTATTTTTATGTGGTGTTGAGGATCGAACCAGTGCCTCAAGTATGCTAGGCGAGCACTTAACCACTGAGCCACAACCCCAACCCTGAACTGCCTTTTTTTTTTAATGGACAGAATGCCTTTATTTTATTTATTTATTTTCATGTGGTGCTGAGGATCGAACCCAGTGCCTCATGAGAACTAGGTAAGCGCTCTGCTACTGAGCTACAGCGCTAGCCCTGAACTGAAATTTTTTTGGTAAAGTAGGAAGATACTATGTTCTGACAAAGTAAATTATTCGTTTTGTTCCCCTCACAGGTATTTAATGAGATTCGTAATGAGCACTTCTCCAATGTCTTTGGCTTCTTGAGCCAGAAGGCCCGGAACTTGCAGGCCCAGTATGATGTGAGGCTCTAAGCCCTGTTTCTCTGTTTTGTTTCCTTAGTGTCTCCTAAGGCTGCTGTCCTCTGGCTCTCCTTCTTCTGACAGAACCCCATTTCTTCTGGATGGGTAGCAACTGAGGGAGGGTGGTGGTTTCTCCTGAAATCAGAGGTATTGACTTTATGGGGATGTTCCCACAGCGCCGGAGAGGCATGGACATTAAGCAGATGAAGAACTTTGTGTCTCAGGAGCTCAAAGGACTGAAACAGGAGCATCGCCTGCTGAGCCTCCGTAGGTACCAGTGTGGAGGTGCTAGGGGAAGTGACTCGATATTCCCCAGGGGAATGCTGTGGAGGGGCCATTGCCACCCAGGAGGAGATCCCTGTTTGGCAAATAGTGGTCTCATTGGTATACAATGGGAAGAAGTACTTTGCCTGCAGAGGTTTTTATCATTTTGTATAATAAAGGGACTTCCATCTAGAACCAGGAATATGTCAGCTCCCTTTTTGTCCTCTGCAGATATTGGGGCCTGTGAATCTATCATGAAGAAGAAAACTAAGCAGGATTTCCAAGAGCTAATCAAGACTGAGCATGGTAACCACAACAGCCAATTTTTATGCTACTTTTTGTGCCCCAGCTCCCTGTGAAAGATGATTTCTGGCTCCTTCCAGCTGATGCTGGCTGTGTGGAATGCTGATTCCTGCTAGAAGTCCTGGGGGTCCCTTAACCCACCCCAAGGATGGAGAAAGAGATGAGGAGACAGATGCCTGTTAGCATTGATGGCAACAGGTGAGCTGATCCCCAGTAATGGGCTTTCCTCTTATTACTCATAGCACTGCTAGAGGGGTTCAACATTCGGGAGAGCACCAACTACATTGAAGAACACATTGACCGGCAGGTGAGCAGCAAAGAGCTGGGGAGGCTGGGAATGGTGTTTAGAGGTGGGGTTGCTTAAGCAGAAGGAACTATTAGTATGCATTAAGAAACTTCAGTTCTTACCAGCTGTTTTTTTCTTGTGCAGGTGTCACCTATAGAAAGCCTTCGCCTCATGTGCCTTTTGTCCATCACTGAGAATGGTGAGCCCAAAAGATCAAAGATGAGAAGACAAGGTTGAGAAATATGCTTCAGGAAGAGAAGAAATAATTTTGAAAGACAAAGGCTAGGCTAGGTGGTGTATACCTGTAATCCCAGTTACGTGGAAGGCTTGAGGCAGGAGGATCACCAGTTCAAGGCTAGCCTGGGCAACTTAGGAATGCCCTGTCTCAAAGTTAAAAATAAATTTAAAAACCTGGAGTCGTGGTGCACTCCTGTAATCCTAGTGGAGGCTGAGGCAGGAGGATTGCAAGTTCAAAGCCAGCCTCAGCACAAGTGAGGTGATAAGTAACTCAGCAAGACCCTGTTTCTAAATAAAATACAAAATAGGGCTGGGGATATGGCTCAGTGGTTGAGTACCCCTGAGTTCAATCCCCAACACCCCTGGAAATAAATAAATAAATAAATAAATAAATAGGGCTAGGCCTGTAACTCGGTGGTCAAGTCCCCCTGGGTTGAATCCCCAGTGCCCCCCAAAAAGTTTTTGTTTTGGTTGAATTATCACCAGGTTAAGGGCAATTTATTGTCCAGCCCTAAGCAGGACCATCACAGAACAATGCCCTTCAGATCTTAGAATTGCAGAGGCACAGAGCCAAGTGGCCTTTCTCATCATTCTATGTGACCATCTGTCTTCAATAAAGTTTCTATGATAAAAATATGTTCTAGAAAAAAGGGACAGCCAACTAATTTCATGAACATTTCCAAAAACCCAGATTATGCAACTTTTCATGACAACTGTTTTTACTGTTGAAGTGTTCTAGTTGATCAGTATTCTTTAAGGTTTTTCTTTCTACCCAGGAAGGTACTTGCTTATTATAAATTTCCCTTGTTGTAGTTGGAAGTCCATTTCTTATGTCTATTTAAAAAAGCATTTGAGACCATATTTTTGGAACTCATTTTTATATACTGTCTGTTTCTTAGTAGCTATAAAGCAGTTCAAGGAGAACTGGCCCTTAGCTGTGAAGAAATGTGTGAAAAAAGTCTCATCTCCTTTCTGCCACATTCTGTCACCCCCCGCTACCATTAACATTAGTTCCAGTGTTTCCTCAGCACCGTTGTGGTTCAGAGCTCTTCCTAGAATGCCTAGAACCCAGACTTAATGTTTCAATAAGTAAGCTTAAATTTAGCAGTAATTTTACAGTTATATCCTGTGTAAGGTTAACATGATTTACTGCATCGTTTTTCTGATTAAAGTATTGGTTTGTTGGTGTGGCTCCACATCTCCAGAGTACCTCAGCTGACATATTCTTATTTTCCTCTCCCTTAGGTTTGATCCCCAAGGATTACCGATCTCTGAAAACACAGTATCTGCAAGTAAGAACTGGAGAATGTATTCTATTTTTTTTTTTTTTTTAATGTTTGGAGAATTTATTCTTAAGGGAAGCTGGTATAAGGCAGTTGTCAGGCATTTTTGAAGGAGGCACAAGGAAAATATGGCCCCTTCCTTATTCCTATCCATTTGCATTCTAGCCTCCCTCTTAAAGGTATTAGGGAGAGTACCTTTTCAGCATACCCACACCCATCTTTGGTGGGCAGCCAGTGCCAAGAGAATTTATAAACAATTCAGCATTTGAACCCAGTGAGGAATTCTGTCTCCTGGAAATGTCCCTCACTTTAGCACCTTGTGAAGCATTGATTCACTTTGCTTTCCTGATCTTTTTCATGTTTTCATGTGTGAAGCCTTTTCAACCATTTTTACCTCCATAGTTCCATGCTACTTCCTATTCCTCTTCTTTTGGTGTAGAGTTATTTCTGGTGTGAAAATCCTATACACAACAAAATGTGAGTTCTTTCAGGACAGACTGCAGGGTGTGGCCGTGGAGTCCTCCCCTCATTTCTCTATTACTAGCAGGGCCAGATTCAGTAAATAACTGATTTGAATTTTCTTCAGAGCTATGGCCCTGAGCATCTGCTCACCTTCTCTAATCTGCGGCGAGCTGGGCTCCTAACAGAGCAGGCCCCAGGGGACACTCTCACAGCAGTGGAGAGTAAAGTAAGCAAGCTGGTGACTGACAAGGCTGCAGGTGAGTAGGGAGCACAGGTGACCCCTATCCCCTACCCCACCTTTGCTGATGTTCCCTCTTCTCTCAACAGGCAGAGCACCCTGGGAGGGAACAAGGAGGGGGGAAGGAAGATGTGGTTCTTTATTGCTATTGTCATTACTACTGCTACTTCTGCTAGTAAGAGCAGTTTCGATGCATTGAACACTTAGCATGTGGTAACCTCCTACATATAGTTTTCCATTTAATCCTCACAAAGATTCTGTGAGGTACATTCCCTTTCCCCCATTTTTACTGATGAGGAAACTGAGACTTAAAGAGGTTTTATTGACATGTTCAAGGTCAGTCAGGTTGGTTTAAATCCAAAGCCCAGACAACTTATCTGATAAACTAGGGTCACCCTATAGTCTGCATTTATAGGTGGCTGGTACCCTGTAGGAGGAGAAAACAGTGGATGGGGAGAGGTGTGCTGAGTGTCATGATCAGTTCCAGGGAACTGTAGATGAATGGCTTCGAGGGAAGTCTTCAGACGTATCCTGAATGGTGTCACCTACAGCAGCGTCATGAATCTATAGACCTTATATGGACCCTAGCACAGATTTTTTTTCCCAGGAAAGATTACTGATGCCTTCAGTTCTCTGGCCAAGAGGAGCAATTTTCGGGCCATCAGCAAAAAGCTGAATTTGGTATGTGAAACAGGACTGCATGGCTGGTTATGGGGCGGGTTATGATTTAATTCCTTTGTGGAGTATAGTCCATAAAAACCTTTTTGGTGTTTGATTTTTATGAAGATCTTTTAGTATTCTTATAGCATGAGCTTAATTTAATGAGACAGGAGACAAGATTCACTTACTTAATAAGTATTTAACAAGCATCTGTCAGTGCTATAGGATAGTGGAAAGTATAGGTTCCTATGCTTCCTATGAAGGGGTTGAAGAGAAGGACTGGAGAGGAGAACCCTTCCCTTCAGAAATTCATTGCAGAGAGTTAGTGGATACTGAACATAAGTGTCATCTTGGTTATGGATTCCTTTTGGGGGGCCTGCTGCTGGTTCTCCCTTTAGTTGAAACAGGAATTATTGTTTGGGATTTGTTACTTTTATCTGATCCTTTAAAGGACTAGAGAACTGGGCTTCCACTTGCCTAATCAGTATCACTGCCTTCTAGATTCCACGCGTGGACGGAGAGTATGATCTGAAAGTGCCCCGAGACATGGCTTATGTCTTCAGTGGTGCTTATGTGCCCCTGAGCTGCCGAATCATTGAGCAGGTGGGAACAAGCCACTCATATTTCACTCTCTGCTTTCTCTTATCCCTCGCCCATCCCAGCTTTTATTATTGAAGTAACTAGCAAGACACATGACAGTGGTACTATTTGTGGACTTGAAACCAGTTTTTTGGTTTTTTTTTTTTAAATATTTATTTTTTAGTTGTAGTTGGACACAACTCCTTTATTTCACTTGTTTATTTTTGTATGTGGTGCTGAGGATCGAATCCAGGGTCTCGCATATGCGAGGCGAGCTCTCTACTACTGAGTCACAGCCCCATCCCAAAACCATTTTTTTTAATATTTATTTTTTTATTTGTTTTTAGTTATAGGTGGACACAATGTCTTTATTTTTTACTTTATGTGGTGCTGAGGATAGAACCCAGTACCTCATGCATGTTAGGTGAGCGCTCTACCGCTGAGCCACAATCCCAGCCCTTGAAACCAGTTCTTATACCTTCCCAGGTGTTAGAGCGGCGAAGCTGGCAGGGTCTTGATGAGGTGGTACGGCTACTCAATTGCAGTGAGTTTGCATTCACAGGTGTGTGGCATTGCCAGGTGGGGCAGGGTGTCAGTAAGAGGTGGGCTCACACATCATGCAGTACTAGCATGTCAGTGAAGAGCTAAGTCTGGTCTGATCCTCACAGACATGACCAAGGAAGACAAGACTTCCAGTGAATCCCTGCGCCTTATCTTGGTGGTATTCCTGGGTGGCTGCACATTCTCTGAGATCTCAGCCCTTCGGTTCTTGGGCAAAGAGAAAGGTAAAAGAACAGAAAGTTGAGAACAGGCTAGCATGGGTCCTGAGGGAAAAAAGTGCCTTGCACAGGAAGCCTTTTCTCCAGGCCATGGTACCACTTGTTATAACCTTGCTGCAGGCTGCTATAACCATGAGCCCAATCCCGATAGGCTTGCAAGTTGTGGTATCCACCAGCCTAGTATTGATGTCTTTGTGTTTATAAACTGGTACACTGATTCATTGGGGATTGTGGAACTGGATGGGTCAATGTGGTTCCTGCTGGGAACCTGAGATCTCTTGTCACTTCTGCTGCTTTTGATTCCTTAGGGTACAGGTTCATTTTTCTGACAACAGCTATCACAAATAGTGCTCGCCTTATGGAGGCCATGAGTGAGGTGAAAGCCTGAAGCTTTTGAGGCCAACATTGGAGTCTTCCTTGGATGTAGGTGTTTGGTACCCAGCTGCTAACAAAGTATTCCCATTGGCCCTGCTGAGAGCTGGGGAATTTGGAATTTATTTGGGACCTACAGAACATATTTGACAACAATGTTCATATCATGTGCCTGGGATATTCCATTTTTTTGCTTATGAAGTAGAGTACATGCTGGTAAGATACAAGGGAGAAGAGGTAACCTTTGCTAAATCCTGTTTGAATATCATTGTAAATAAAGCCACTGCTCTCATACATAACATCCTGTAGTTCTGTATATTCACTTCTGTGTATATTAGTGAAAGCACAAGAAGAGCTATCCTTGGGGTTTCATATGTTTTGTGGACAGAACTCTGTGATAGCTGTAGTCCTATTGCATTCTTCTTGGAAAAAAAAAAAATTACCTGTTCTGTACCAGAGTTTCCTCAACTGTAAAATAAGGAAGATGGATTAGGTGGTCAGCAAAAATTCTAAAACCTTTCTAATTCTAAAATTTTGTGATTCATTACATTTTCAAGAAAACAAATTTATTATTGTTTTAACTTAAAAAGGCACTTTAAGCTTTTTGTTTCTTATTGTAGAATGAAAAATTGTTACCCATTATAAAAGCTATTTCTGGCAACAGTAAATAGTACTCCTGTAAATGTCGCCAGTGCCCTTCTCTCTTTACCTTTTGAAAATTATAAACTATAACCACATATATTAGTGATCTCTTTTTTAAAAAAATATTTATTTTCTAGGTGTAGTTGGACACAATACCTTTATTTAATTTATTCATTTTTATGTGGTGCTGAGGATCAAACCCAAGGCCTTGCACACACTAGGTGAGTGTGCTACCCCTGAGCCACAACCCCAGCCCCAAGTGATCTCTTTTCAGGCCTTTTCTAACTTGATCTCATTGGAAACTACCTCTTTCTCCTTGAAATTCTCTTAATTCAGCTCTCATGACACTCATTTTTGTTCTGCATTTTTGTTGTCCATCTGTCTCCTTTGATTACTTCTGTATGCCTGTCCCATTTATTGACATCTCTCTCTCTCCTTTATTGTGGCGATCTATTTCCAGATCTCAGGCTTTTGCTAAGCTTCACTCACGCTAGTATTTCCTACCTGGTCATTTCACAAACTCTAAATGTCTAAAAGTTACAAATGGAACCTCTTGTCCACTCTTTAAAGCCCTAAATCTGCTCTTCTTCCCATTTTTAATTGACATTATCATCTACTCAAATTTTGTTCATTTTTTTGTGAAAGAAACTATCCTTGATATTACTGATTTTTCCCTTTATCCCTCACATTTAGTCTGTCCCCTTGTCCTATTGATTCTTATTTCAAAATGTCTCTAGTTAATCCCCTCCTTACCATTTCCACAACAGAGGTCTTTATTGTTGTCTCTTGCTTGGGTTTTTGCAAGACTGTCTCTCCCAGTTGCTCTGCTTCCCATCTGTTCCCCTTTCACAGTGCTTCCACTTATCAAAAGAAAGAAAGTCAAAACGTGTAATTGAATTCTTTACTAGAAGAACAATAATGCTGTATCAGAGCACACTCTAAGGAGAAGACATGCATCAACTAGCTAGCTAGCATTTTCGATACTGGCCGGCATGGTGGCACAGGCCTGTAATCCCAGTGACATGGAGGCTGAGGCACAAGTTCAAGGCTAGTCTGGACAATTTAGCAAGATCCTGTCTTGAAATAAAAAATAAAAAGGGCTGGGTTGTAGCTCAGTGGTAGAGCACCCCTGGGTTCAATCACTAGTACCAGGAGAAAAAAAAAAAATCTTTTGACAGTCTTATGTTAGGTTCGTGGATAAGATCAAAGACACTGTTGACAGAGATGTTAGTTCACAGAAGGAATATGTGGTTTCAGAAGGATTCTATAGCCAAGTAAATAAACAGTGACAGTGCATTGTATTTGTGCTATAGAATAGTACCATTTGGTAGAAATACAACATGGCCCTGTAATAGGGTCAGAATCACGGTATACACACAGTTTACGTGCTGAATATATTCTCTGAATAGACTTCTTTGCAAAGGCTGTAACACTTGTGGAGCTTCAAAGCTATGATATTAAGAACATCAGAGCAAAATTGCCTTATCTCTGGATAAGTTACAATGCTAATCCTTGGAATGCATCTGAAGATACAAATTTTGAAGCATTTTGAAGAACTTCCAAGTTAATTAATCAAAAGTTCCAGTAAATTTCGAGTATTGTCCCTATTATTTAGTGGTGTGAATTTTGGTATACTGTCACCAAGTTTAAAAATGTTATAAGTAACAATGAGAAATTTTTCTGAAAGAAAGGGAAAAAAAAATCTGGTTTTGGAGGTGAAGCAAAGCATCCTTTAGGGAAAAGGCAAAGGGTGACAATTACAGAAATGATGATTCATTAAGATGTGTCATTTCAATTATAATAAAATAAGTGAATCAAACAGGAAATGCCCTTTTTTTTTTTTTTTTTTTTTTTTGCCTGATGAGCAGAGAGGTTTAAAAGTGTAGTGTTTGGCACTGCTGAGGGTAATCGGAGGTGGGTACTCCGGGTGCGTTTCCTTGTTCGGGAGGACAAATTAATAAATACAACCTCTTCGAAAAGGAGGCATCACATTTCCATGAATCAGTCATAATAATGCAAGATGCAAAGATTTATGTATGAGGATATTCATCCTAATATTATTTGTTAAATAATGAGATCTACATGCCACAGAAAAAAAAATCTGATATGTGCATTTAGGGATATAGTTCAGTGAGAAAACGATGATACAAAAACACTTCGTCAATTTCAAGCCTTAAAATTTTCATATAACAGTTAAATAAACATAATTTGAAAGAAAACCAGGCCCCAGTGATCTCCATTTTTCACCAGTTGTGTGCCTTGGACAAGACACTCAGACTTGGGAGGCTTTTCTTCTACCTTTTTTTGAGTCTCGTCCTCTGTATGGTGGTGATAGTACTTCCTAATGGGTTTGTCGTGATGATTAAATGGGATAACTTCTCTAGAAAGATACCAAGCCTTTGAGCAGGGCTCAGTGTTCCTTCCCTTCTTTGGTGGGCTTCTCAAGCCTCCCTGCTCCTGCCCCTCGGCCTCTAAAAACACCACAAACTTGAAATCAAAACTGCGCGCGTCGGGTGGGGCTCGGATGACATCATAAGCTCTGAAAGGATGCACTTCAAGGCTATAGCTGGTCTAGTAAAGCCAGCCGCGGCCGAGCGCACGCGCAGACCGTGAGATCCGCCCAACATGCTCTCCCATTGCACTTCCCACGCCCAGCGCGCAGCTCCTGCTTGGGCGGAGACAGACCCGCGAGGTAGTCCGCCGTGGCGGAGGGGCGGGGATGAGGCGGGGCTTCGTGAGGAATGATGGGAAGCCGCACCAATCGCATGGCTGCTCCGCCTCGGAGCTCAATTTGAAATTCCGCGGGGCCCAACGGCTCGCGGAGCGGCTACCCACAGCGAGAACTTCGGTGTGTGTTGCTGGTTGCTGCGCTCGTACCCGCGTGAAGGAGGTCGGGGGTCTCGATTCCCTGGGACTGCTTGGAGCGTCCGCCATGAGAAGGAGGTGCGAGTCGAGATGTGGTGGGAGGGAGCAACGCCTGTCCCGGGTACTGGGCTGGTGCGGTGTCCGAGAGGCCCCTCGGCTGGGACTAGGGTGTCCGATCAACCCGCGGCTAGCGGGTGCACGTTCGAGCCTGACGCGCTGCTCTGAGGTCCCGCAGCCTCACCCCCGTGTCGTGTATGAGCGCGGCGTCGGAGCCGCTGAGCTGGGGCTGAGGCTGGAGGCAGGAGCCCGCCCCGCAGCGCCTCAGGTGCAGCTCCTTCGCACTGAAGGCCGCCTCAAAACCTCGGTCTGTGGCTTCACATTTCTTAAAGTCGTGAAGTTTTAAAAACATCTTTTGCTTTCTGTTGTATCCGCCCTGCGGTGTTAGCGCTTTACTTATTTGGAAAGACGGCTTAGTTTCCTTGCAAATTAAAGAACTGATGATGGAATTCTCTTATGGTCGTTTTAACAGCTTCCCCAGCGTTGCTGGGGAGGGAGTGTCCAGTTTGAGATCCGATTAGACGTGTGAAATTGGGCAAGAGGTCGAATGCATTTTCCCGATTCTAAAATAAGAACAATATCTGTGTAGGAGTTGTGTGTTTAAATCATACAGATGTTTACATTCGGGGGGGTTAAGTATTGTGCGTATTCCGTATTAAATAATTTGTAGTTAATTGGTTAAACTGATTACACTAAGGTTCTTGGTTCCATGATTACTAATTCTGATCAGGCTTTTCCAAATGCTTGTCCTCAGGGGAATAGGAATTAAGGAATTAAGTTTAAATCATTAATACCCTTGCCAAAACAAACTTAGTATTATAAGGTTGTGGATTGCAAATAACTTTTTAACCCACCTATTGGTGCTGGAAATATCAAACCCGGGGTTTCCAGCATGCTAAGCAAGCACTCTACCACCGAGATACGTCCTAGTTCCACAAATAATCTTATTATCTAAAGGAAATTATCTTAAAACTGCTGTGCATTTAATCTAATGGTGCATTCTGAGGACTAGTAAAATTTTAAATAGCATTTAAAGGAAAATCTTATTCACAGTTCATTATGGATAGCTCAGGTATCTTCTGTATTCAAGTGATTGAATGAAGGTAGAAAAAAAAAGTTCCCCTTGAATGGTTATAATTAGATTTTTTAAAGGCCACTAGGATTCCTCTAACCCAAAGCTAGGTTTTGGGGGTACTTTTGAATTTCAGGTATTCATTTTTGGAAAGGGATGTGAGAAATAGGCCTCAGAAACAATGAGTGTCAGATTTTCACTGAATTAACTATGATTATGGATCCTGAAACAGGTTGTACAGAAGTTTTCACAGACCTTTTCCAGAGTCTACCACTGTCCAGGGGGAAAAACAAGGAAGTAACTCAGTGAAGGTTGACTGAAAGTAGGCAATCATGTAGAGAGGAATACTTGAAATCTTTTCCAGTCTAGTGACTTAGGTTCAAGAGACTGGAAAAAATGGTTCTTTTTACAACTTTTGTGTCCTTGTGTATTTTTTATTCACTTTCAGTTATTTAGTGATGTATTCTAAGAAAAAAAAATAGATTTGCTCCTTTTAGGGAACCATTTAGCAAGGATCACAATGATAGCTCTGAAGCATCTTCAAGTCATACAACTTTTTAAAATCTACAGGTTATTCTTTCAGAATACTTCTTGAATGTATATTATGTACAAAGTACAATTCAAATATTGGGGATAGTGTGGCAAAAAAAAAAAAAAAAAAAA